AATATTGGGCGACGACACGACTCTGGCGGAAAAGATTAGAACTCTGTTTAGAGAACAAGGTGTGACCGTAGTGAGCATTTTAGCCGCTTTGAGTTTAGCCATCAGCACGATAGTGAGTAGCATCGTCGCTAGCGTGAGAGGCGCGGGTGCCCCACCCACGCCAACACCAACACCAACACCACCAAAAGGCGGTATCAAAGAGTGGATTTCAAAACAACTCGCTAATTTTGCATCTGCTCTTCAAAAACTCGGAGTGAGCGCGTTGGGTGCTCTGCCGGGCATCATAGGTAGCATACTGAGTTGGCTATTTAACGCGCTGAGTAAGTCCGTGTCGTGGTTGGCCGAACACGTGTGGGCTTTGTTTTTGGGTGTGGGAGCCTTGGTGTTTGCGTACCTGCAAAAACGATGGTAGTTGTAATCAAAGTTAAAAACAAAACAACAAAAAAATAAGCCTTACCAGCACAAAGTTGGTAAGGCTTATTTTTTTGTGAGATTAGAGTGTGACTTATCGCGTTGCCTCGTAAGCTAAAATACCCATACCCATAATAGCTAATATTCCTACCGTCAACGATAATTTTTCGTCTTGGTGAGTTTGTAGTTTTGTGGGTTGGGTTAAAACTGTTGGTGCTGGTGTTGGTGTAGGTGCTGGTGTTGGTGTTAGTGTTGGTGTTGGTGTTGGTGTTGGTGTTGGTGTTGGTGCTGGTGATACAACATCGGTCATAGGCTCTAGGGGTGTTGGTGGCGCGACGTCATCGGTGTCATCAAAAGAGTCGTCCGGCTGAGGTTGTGCGTTTAAATCTGGCACCAACCCAGTTTTCATAATCTGGGTAGCGATTTGAAGATTGTTGTTATAACCGTCGTGTGTTCCAACCCTCAAGTTCATATCTGATGGGATCAGATACAACCCCGGTTTCACGACAAAATTTAGAGGTGTTCTGGCATACTGCAGCGAGTCTTGAAATTGATCGATACTCGTTTCCATGTCGTCTGCTGCATTGATGATATCTTCAACGATGACGTTAAATTGTCTCTGAGCGTCTAATCCGGTGCCCGGTGATAATACGCTCGTTTTTGTTTGAGCCTGCGCACCGAGTAAAGCGTACACGTAAGATCTGATCGATTCGTTGATCTTTATGATTCCCGCGGGGGTAAACGAACTCTTGGCGGGTATAAAATCTAACCAAGCATTTTGTACCGATTCATTTTGTTCGATATAAATAATCGTGTAAGGAAGGTAACTGTTTCCTCTCTTTTTAGGACTATCTAGACCCCCGTAGCCGCCGCTGCCGTAAAGAACCTTGGGGCTGTTGGGTAGTGCTCTATAATAATCGCCAACCGCCAAAAACTTGCCCTTATTAAAGCTATACGAGTTACCCAAACCGTTAGATATTGTGTCTCTCGTCTGTTTAAAAGACTTGTTTTGATCTATGCCAAACAACAAACAGATATCGTTAAATGCTCTATGATTATAACTGTTGTCTAGAACGTTAAATGTGTCATCTCCCGGTAAAGGAGCGGCAAGGTCATATAGGATCTTTCTAACCGTAAAATATAAATGAAAGTTAAAGATGGCCCAAACGTAACGGTTGCTCGCGTTTAAAAGATCAAATCCAACACCGCAGCCCGTAGTAGCGCAATAGATCGCAAAATTTAACTGATTTTGATAAAACGACATGGGGTGTGATTTCCAACGATCTACATCCTCATCCGTCTCAACGTGAGGCAATTTATAGTCTGAGGTTAAGTCGGGAAACGAGCTTAAAAACCCGTTGGTATTATTAACTATAACTTCCAGTTCACTGGGTTTAGTGCTGTTTAAAAACTTTGCTTGGGACGCAGCTTGATGCTTTGGCTCGGTTGCCTTGGCTACATTTTGATTTACTTGTTTCGCTACCTGATCAGCTATCGATTGTATCTGCTTTTTTAACAACATAAAAGCAGCCATTATTTTAGTTTCAGTTTTAATATAAAAAGACTTTAAAATAAATGCATTCGTTTCACTTGTTTCAAAATGAGCAGACGTTTAAATTAGAAGACGTCGTAGATAATTTAAACGGTCAAAAATCTGTACGCGTAAAAAGGGTGATGTTTAACCCCGGATATTTTAATATTTCCAGCGCCACGGAGATTGATTGGTATACGCAAATAGATGGGAGACCCGCTGAAAGACCTGATGATGGTATAAGACCCGAACTGGTTAACCCAGATGTAGAAGTAAGAACAGATAGAGATTTTATTGCGCAATTGGTACCCGAGTACCCCTACGACTTTTTAATTAACGACGAAAATACTTTCAATAGAGTTATAAACGATCTTATAGAAGCGTACGAAGAAGATAGACTAGACTCTGCTTTAGAATCGATCCGAGAAGAAATGGATCAAACTGTAGATGGTATAAGAATTTTAAGCTTTAAAAGACAAGACAAAACACTAACCGAAGAACAAAGCAATACGCTTAAATTTTTAATAACACTTATAGCAGAAAGAAGAAGCTTCATCAATGAAGGTAAAATGATAGCGCTAGAATATATCGACGGTATAATAAGCGAACCTAGAGCGAGAGTAATTAGAAATGCTGGGATAACAATACGTGGGAGTCTTGTCGTGTCTGGTGATAATTTAGATTTTATTTCTCCGAGTCTTTTAGCGCCGTTACCAGCCGGAGTCACCGGTTCGGTCACCATCCCACCTGGGTGGTACGACGTCGATTGGTTCGATTTCATTTTAAATTATATACCCGGGGTAAGTTTTCGAATATTTAGAGAATCTAAAAAGGTGACGTTGGTTGTAACCGACGTCAATCTCAAATTGCGTTTAAACAGAGAAGTCTCTCGATTACTCAATTTACCCAAGGGAAGACTGATACCCAAAGTGGTGTATACGGGGTCTTACGACATTAATCCGTTTAAATTTTTGTTTATTCGCTGCCCGCAATTAAGTACGAGTGAAAACTTTTTTGATGGCCGTCCATCCGACATCTTAAAAATCGTACCCGTGGGTACGCGCAAACCCGAGCCTGATAGAGTCGAGGATTTCAAGAAACTTAAAAACGGTATAATCGACAAACTGACATTTTCAATCATAGGTGAAAAAGGACAGATCATCAACAACAAGGGTGTGAGTATCATGATCGAGTTGGAGATCTTTTAATTTTAAAATCTTTTTATATTAAAAACATGAGTGTAGATGGTAAGGTGTTATACCCCGATATTTCTGGAGATGTACTCCGATTAAATAGTAACGAAGAAACAAAAGTGTACAGACTTAAAAAGATTGAAGAGATTCGATCTTTAATCTTGAAAGAGAGAGACCACCGAGAGCACACTTATAAAAAAATAAAGAGAGTGATCGACACTATTAATTACGTAGAGATAGGATTAGAAGGATTGGGGGCTATAGCGGGGGCTGTCGGTATTCCCGCTCTCTTGGGTGTTATATCAACCCCCGTTGGATTGGTGCTAGAAGGAACGTTTATAGGCGCTTTTGGTGTAGATATTCTGCTTAGAATCGCGTCTAGGCGATTATCCGCCAAGCTAAAAAAGCACGACCAGATTAAGATATTAGCAGACTCCAAACTTAACACGATTGAAGAATACGTGTCTCAAGCCATCAACGACGGAGATATATCGCACGAAGAGTTCTTACTGATTACGAGAGAGCTCGCCAAATTTAACGAGCTTAAGCAGAAAATTAGAGCAAAGACCAGCACAAAGCTTCAAAAGATTAAAAACGATACAGACTTTGAAAAAGAAGTTAAAAAACGGGTAGACGAACGGCTGGCAAAAGAAAAAAAATCTCTTATCGAAAAACTTACAAGTTCAAATTCTCGGTAAATAAACATTATGAAAGCGATCCGCCGAGTTATACCTCTATTTCACCTCTTGGGGTGTTACCCTCGGCCCCGCCTTTATTGTAGTGGTCATCGTATATTTTTAGTGCTTTATTAAATTGATTTTGAGTCACTTTAAATAAATCTCTAACTCGTTCTTTGTCTAATCCAACGACGTGATGATAACACGCCGCTATTAATGACCGTTTGACGCAACCATTTCCCCTCAATGTTTTGTAATTAACGAGCTCGTTATATTTATTGATTGTTTCTTGGACATCTTCTAAGTCTTGCTCTGGACACACAGACAAAATAAGTTTCTCCACAGTTTTTCTTTTGTTTCTCTTTAAAGTTGACCAATTGATACGATCTTCTTGCGCATTTTCTGCCGAAAAATCAAAATAACGTGAAACTATTTCACCGCACGTTTCACAAACTAAAAAACCATTCTCGATGATTATATGATGATCGCACTTATCCCCAAATTGTGACGTCCCAAAGTATTCCATCTATTTAATAAAAACCGATATTATTTTTTATTAATTTTTCAAATACTCGTCGGTCTAAACATATTACTCTCCATTTTTATATTAAAAAACAGCTCCTCACCTTTTACAGGGTAAGGAGCTAATTTTTTTCTTTCTCTCACTCTCTCTCCGTTAGATTTATTTTTTTTATTTTTTTTTTTTTCTTGAGATCGGGGGGATTTCCCATTGGCCCTGTACTACCCACAGACCTATGACAAAGTCTGGTACCCAGACTTCTCATTAATGGCCCTGTACTACCCACAGACCTATGACAAAGTCCAGCACCCCCGCCTCCCTTACTACTCCATACACGTGGGCCTGGACTAATGGACACGCATTTTAGGGGTGTGGCAGGCTTGAGGGGCAGGAGGATTCAAAGTATTAGGAGGGGAGGGAGGAAAAATTGAGGGGCTATTTGTATTACAATTTTGCCCCACAACAATAATATTAGCATTTTTGAAGTGAACATACCCATGTATGTACAGTGAAGTAAAGACAAAACTGGAACTGTTTGTCAGCCAAAAATGAAATTGAAGATGCCTGTTTTGCTGACACTTTGGCACTTAATTTAAAAGTAAAATTAAATCTTTAAATTCTGCAGACAAGATATATTTACACATTCAATCTTTATCTTTTCTCAACAGAATTCGCTAATAATAATTCCCATCAGGATCCTGATGACTCTAGTGATAAAAAAGTAAGTGCTTATTTCATATTACATAATATATAAATGGTACTGGCATATTTATCGAGACTAATGAGCCAAATACTATCACTATTCTTGATTGCTTCGTATATATTTCCAAATCATTTCACAGAGACATCAAGAGCCTGATAAAGATAAAAAGAAACTTGGACCAGATTCATATGGGTAAGTTCATGCACGAAAAAATGCAGTTAAACATTAATTTTTCACCTTTAAAATATATTTGTTGCCATTAATTAATAAATAAATCAAACAAAACACAATAAAATAAAACAAACAAGTGATCTTTGAAATGCAAAAACGTTTGTTGAAAAGTTCTCTAAGGATACAAGAATCCTAACTGAGATGAAAATAAAGTTTCCGCTTTCACTGGTTTTGTGTTGGTTTTTTTTGCATTGTTATTTAATATGGGTTCTTATACTTTTTGTCCCTTCAGACCCAATATGGTCATACATGTCTGCGATGAGGCCAAAAATGGTACGTATGCCTTTGAAATTTGGGGGAAAAAAATAACAATTTTAGCAAGTTCTTCATAGAAAAATGATCATTGCAAACTTGGGCAAGCCAGACAGCAATTGCACATTTTAAATTCCAGTCAACTGGGACAAAGGTATTGTTTGCTCCTGTTACTTGTGACTGACTTATGATTGCCTTAAGATCAACTTGTGATCAACAACTGATTGACTTGTGATCGACATGTGATCTACTTGTGATCAACTTGCGATCAACTTGTGATAACCTTGTGATCACCTTATAATGAGCTTGCGATCAACTTGTGATAACCTTGTGATCACCTTATAATAAGCTTGTGATCAACTTGTGATTGACTTGTGATCGACATGCGATTGAGTTTGATTGACTTGCAATCGACTTGCGATTGACTTGTGATTCTCTTGTGATTCGCAATTTCAGTCAAGAAGGATTTCACCTGTCCTCGTGACCTTCTAGTCACAGAGATGCGATATTTCGCGGAGTATCTCTCCAGTGACACGCAACGTTGGGAGGAGGTGGATATATCCGTCCACTGTGATGTACAGATCTTTGATTGGTTGATGTGTTACGTCAAACGCAACTGCCCAGGATCGCAGACTAGACTGGCTCCTAACCTTGGTAAGACAAAAAATGAAAATTTCACGTTAACACCTGTACTACATTGTATTTATCCCCGGTGACTTCATAAAAACAGGGGGTAACAAGCTGAGCAGTTTGGGGTGGTATAGTGGCCATTGAAATGACAAAGACCCAGTTCTAGAAGAATGCAACTCGATTTCTGTTCAAAAGGAGAATTCTTTGCCTGTGCAATGGATGCAAATTCGTTGTGGAGAAATTCTATTTAAACTTTGTAAGTGATGCACCTTGGTACTAAACTAATTGCAAAAGACCTGAAGGATTTTTGGTTGTTTTTTCTCATACAGATGCAAGCAATGTGATATCAATCCTGATATCTTCTGATTTCTTGAAAATGGATTCCTTGGTAAGTTTTGAAGTCTCTAAAATTTTATTGTATTTTCCTTCTCGCCAACTTTCAAGTTTTGCAAAATACGAGAATCTTAGCTTTGACTCAGTCAGCTGTGTTTCTTAGTGATGATATTTTTCAAAGATTGACGATTTCTTTTACCACTTTAAGGTAAATGAGTGCATCAATTTCTGTCACAAGAAAATGTCTGCCATTGTAGCCACACCTTGCAACATGAACTGCATCAACGATAAACTAAGCACAAGGCAAGTTACTCTTTGTTTAATAAGTATATCTTATTTGTTATTAACCCATTAGCAAATGTACTACATTGTATAACACTGTGTCGATTTTCACTGAGCGTTTTGGGCTACAGTGACTGTAAGCTTAATGATAGTTGTGGGCCGATACACTTCCCACACTTCTTTTTACAGCCGTAATGTGTGTGGCTTTGCTAATTTCAATTGGAACTTATTGTAATCTTTCTTCTTCTTCTTTTAGAATTGCTGATTTGTTCACCGATCTGGAAGTTGATGAAGTCAAAGATAGGAAAGATAAATTCAAAAGGTAATTTTCATTTGACAAAAGATTTTTAAAGGGGTCTTTTTTTTGCACAAAAGTTTTATATTCATTTCTTGAAGTTCCTGTCACTATTTGGGGGTTTTAAGACAGCTAAATGTTATGCATTTGTTATTTTTCCAGCAAGTTGTTTTGCAAGAAAATAGAAGGAATGTTTGAAGCCAGTAAACCCGCTGCGACTTTGTACAGGTAAGGAAAATACTGGTTAGATTTTGTTGAGATTTATATATATTTTTGTTCTCTACAAATTGATAAAAAAAACCTGAACAGTTTCAATTAATCTCTTGTGAAGTGAAAGCACTATCTTGGTAAAATATTTCTTCTTCCACTCTTTCCTATTTGTAGATGTCAACACTGTAAGCGTCTTCTGACAAAGGAACTACAGTCAAAACTGAAGTGTATACCAACTAGGTAAGAATAGCAAAAAAAATTGAAATGAAACAAGGTATGAAATAGTATTTGATCACAAGTCATCACAAAACATCACGTCAATTACATGTCAATCACATGTCAATCACATGTCCATCACATGTCAACCACAAGTCAATCACATGTCAATCACAAGCCAATCACAAGTCCATCATAAATCCATCACAAGCCCATCACAATTCAACCACAAGACAATCAAATGTCAATCACAAATCAAAAAACCCCTCCACCATTACCCCTAACCCCCCCCCCCCCACCACCCCAAAAAAAGACTTGAAAAATAGGCAAATTCTGAAAGATTTAATGCATCTTCTGTTTTTTCTTGTTGATAGGATGAGTATTGACAGACAAGGCAATGTGGTCTATCACCACCAGAGGTGAGTTCAATTATACACAATAAATTGCCTGAAATAAAATTAAAACAAGTCAATCTCAAGACAATTCACAAGCTATTCATATGAACTCCCCCGTTACGTGTAACCCGACTTTTTATTTGACTTTTCTTTGGCTCGATTACAACTCTGTCTTTTTACCAACCACACTAGTCTTCCATCCGTCTTTTTTGACAGGGATCCTTCATGGGACATCAACGACTACCTCCTGGCCATCCGTTCAGAGCTCAAGTCTTGGCGAGAGGTCTACTGGCGCCTCTGGGCCACCGTAAACTCTCTCCCATGTTCCCGCTGCAAGCTGGTCTTCCCATGTAGTGAGCTCGGTCACTGCCGATTCCACCCAGAACCGCCCAAGTTTGATAATTCTGGGGCTGCGTCTTCGACTGCTACCGGAACGTACGGATGCTGCCAACAGAAAACGTTGAGATTCGATCCACTCAATCAGAATACAGTGAGTGAAGTCAACGTATTAAAATTACAAATTTCTGAAAGTAATCAACACATTTTAACAAATAATCGTCATAGTTGTGTGTGTTGGGAAAGGGGATCTCAATTTTCACTTGAAATTGACGAAACTTTTGTCTTCACTCAAGATAGAGGTAATGGGTTGAGTTCAAGTAAAATTGTTATTTTTTCGATCTATACATGCCGCAGTGCTTATAAAATTGTACACATTGTATGTCAGGGCGGCAAAATCAAATATAAAGAGAGATAATTTATTTCACGAAGTTTGAATTACTGGATGTGGGAGATAATGGGCCGTTTTAAAAAATGAAGAATGTGCAATAGTGAAACAAGGTTTATATTTATACATTTTATTCTGGTAATTTTTTTAAATGGTAACAAATCCAAAGCATACCACCTTTTAACTTCAATGCTTTGTTAGCATGAATTAAAAAATGACCACGAAACTTGGTAGGTGCATAGAGTCTCATCTTCACAGAGCGATCACAAATTTCATTGCAAGACTTTTACACCTTTTCACTATTTTCCCCACATCTTGTCTAATCCTTACTTTTTCTTTCGGCATTTGTTTCTTCGTTTTACAGGGTTGTCAAGTAAGAGACCACATTGTGATGATCCCCACTCAAGAGAAGTCACCAGAAGTGGGCGGGGCTTCCAATCATCAAGTCAAGGGGGGCAAGGACAATGCACAGACACTAGACATCCTGCTAGAACGTAAAGACTTCATGTGCATCCCTCCAAAATCACCAGAGCAAGAAAAGTATGTGGGGAAACATTCTGGGCCGAGTACAGTCTACTTATTTCTACTATTAGTTATTACTGCGATCGTGTACCTATGGGCCCGGTTCTTATAAGGGAACAAAATCCACTTTTAAATTATTTGACCTACAGTACCAAACTAGGTGGCGACATTAAGAACATACAGGTATGTCATAGAAAAAGGGCAGGGTTTTGAATTTTTGAGGGAAATTAGGGGGTAAAATGACGATGACGACAAAACACAAAATAAAAACAGAGATAACGATCACCGCGCGATGTACTGTGAGCACGCAAGTCCTGCTGCACGGCACCAACCAGCCCATAAACCGCGTAGGAAAATCGTAATTTCTACCCCAAGAAACTGTTCAAAAATTACCAAAAAGATGTCATTACATTGAGAGAAGTCTGCTTTAGGTCGACATTGTCATTTTTTAGTAATAAAAACAAATCTTGATTCTAATTTGATTAAAACGAAACAGGGGCCCTACACTACACGATCGCCGTAATTACTTCCAATTGTAGGGGCAACTAAGGGCTACGATTTAAGCTCTTTAGTTAAAGTACTGAACAAAGGAATTTGTTGTAGAAATAAATATAAGGGAGCAATTAATTAGGAGAAATTATGAAGGGCGGGGCTCGGGTTGGTCAGTGTGTGGGGTAGCTTATGGTAAAAACACATAACTCTACTCCCAACCTAGCCCCATAAATGTGGCCTATTTACTGGACTGCCTCCGTAAACAAAGGCCACACATCCACATGTACAAAAATCGTGTCGACGGAGCCAAATTTTGATTTTCACATTTAGGCTTAGTTTGTAGGGTTTTTTTGCTTTAGAAGCATACTCACCCTCTTTATAGGCTAATCAGAAAGTGCTGCCTTTTTCAGATGTATATTTTTCGTGAAATTTCCAGATTCATTTTTACACGTTTGTGTATCAAAATTTCAACATGAAATTTCACAAAAATTAGACATCTGAAAAAGGCAGCACTTTCTGATTAGCCTGTAAAGAGGGTGAGTATGCTTCTAAAGCAAAAAAAACCTACAAACTAAGCCTAAATGTGAAAATCAAAATTTGGCTCCGTCGACACGATTTTTGTACATGTGGATGTGTGGCCTATGTTTACGGAGGCAGTCCAGTAAATAGGCCACATTTATGGGGCTACTCCCAACCCAGGGGGGATTTAACAACAACTTACTTGGTCCGTAACTGTTCCTTGCTCGATGCTTGGTCTTTACATCAAGGCCTTTCCTTGCCACGCCCAGGCAAAACCTGCACAGCCCTCCACAGACAACCTATCCCTAGCACAGCACCTAGCAGACTGAAGCACACATCTGCACATGGCTAGTTCAAATTCCATGCACATGGGGATAACAATAGAATTATGCAAATAAGATGCTGCATGCCTGGCTGGACTGATACACACTCAGCTCAGGGGTGTGGTGGATGAGAGGGGCAGGCTAAACCAAAATTAAGGTGGGGAGGAAGGTAATGATGGGCTATTTTTTTGTACAATACTCGGTGTGTTACCTTCGAGTGAAAGTTCAGAAACATCACTCGGGTGGGACTCAAACCCACGACCTCATTTTTTTTTGCTGTAAACAGCTGGCTGTTGAGGTAAACAAGCTTGCTCAGGGACACTACATTTTGCTTAATCACTACCAGGATTCTAATCCCCACCCAAGACCACCAGGGTGACCGTTTCAGCCGATTTTTGGCTAACTTTGACAGATTTTTTGTTAAAAAAACTAATTTGACAGAAAATTTGACAGATTTGATTTTTTTTTGGCAGATTTCTGGCAGAATTCTGCAAAAATGAATATTTGACAGAAAAACGTAGCAAATTTGAAAAAAAATGGTACATTTGTTTAAAAAAGCTTCAATCTTTTCAACAAAAACCATGCATAATGGGACAGGTTGGCTGGTCTAGGTGCTGAGGTTCACTGGGAACCTGACTTTGTCTTGACGCAACACCGCGTTTTGCCCGACGCACTTTCATTACATCTTTATGTGACTAAAGATTGTTTATAATCTAATTTGAACCTTAAATAAGGCAATACTACAAATCTGCATGTGATTTTAAGTGTTTATCGTGTATTTCGAGTAATTCTGGGGAATTTGGCTGTTTGATAAATATGACAGATTTTTGAAGTGCATTTAGCAGAATTTGGCCATGACCTTACGGTCACCCTGAAGACATCTTTCTGCAATTCTAAATAGAATGTACAGCACTAACTTTACTTCAGATTTTAGTCTTAAATACTTTTTTGGGGGTGTCATTTTTGTAGATGGCACGACATCAACATCTTCCGCAGTGAAGAAGCCTCGTGCGGATTGGCTGAAGATGGCATCGGGATCAAAGGTCAACTGCAGAATATCTTCCCTGACGACCACGTGCCTCTCAGCAACCACGTATGTCTCAAAATAAAGACAATTTTTTTAATCTAAATAAATTTCTTTCAAAATAATTTTTGAGCCTATCACCAGCTTCAGACCTGCTTTCCAGAGTCATGCTCAACATAACTATTCAAACGAGCCAAGTTGAATTCCATGCTTGCAACAGTTAGTTTGCCATCATTTAAAGTGACTGTTGGGTCAATTTGAAAGTCTGAAACAGTTGTAACTTTTTTTTAATGGACAGCAAGTGACCGGGCAACAAGCCAATCTTACCTATAGCATTAACAAACAAACAACCCAAACAAACTCAAACAACAACTGATTTCTATGTTGTTATTTTTTTTTTCAGTCTGATGGAAGGCATCGAGATGTTGACTCCTCATCGGATTTTGATTCGAGTGACGATGAAGTTGGCGACGAAGAACTCAGAGGTTTGTCCAAGAAACTCCTGACAAAAGTTTCTGCATTTTCTTATATTGTGAAACCACTGTGATAATTTGTATCAAGTTGCACACAAGTCGTCACAAGTGAATCACAAGTGAATCACAAGTCCATCACATCAAGTCACAAGCTATTAAAATAAGCTGTAACAAAGGCATTCCTTTGTTATTCTTCATTGTGATTGGACTTGTGATTTCCTTGTGACCGACTAATGATGGACTAAAATTAAAGTCATAATCTAACATGTATTATCTATAATAACACCGTGCATTTCAATGATTTCTCCCAGTTTCATCGAAACATCGGCACAAGCATCTAGTCCGCAAGATGTCCAGCAAGTCATCTGTCAGTAAAGAAAAACACAACTCACTGATGTCGGTAGACAGTGCTGCGTCAAACATATGGCAAGTTCTTGTGTGCATTTTTATGGTAAGGCCTTTGCTTTAATAATAGTGAAGGTAAAAGATTCAACCCCATATTGAAACTAATACAACATTTTGCGGGTTTTTGTTTTTGTTTTAGTTACAGGACAAAATGGGATCCCCATCGATCGCTGCGATTTAATCAAGATAACCAGAGAGAAGAAGGTAGGATATCATCATTTCACGTAAAACACAAGTAAATCACAGTCAGAAGTCAAATTCCAAGTAACGGGGGACGAAAATAAAGTTGACCTTCATTTGAGTAGCTTGCGAGTAGGACAGGCCGAATTGTGATCAACTTATTTCTGAACTCAACTACAACATTTTGTATCGGTTGGTTCCCACAGATCACAAACGCAATCAGCTGATGGTGAACCATCTAGCCAAGTTGAGAACGAGTACCGGGGAACGACACGAGAAGACAAAAATCAAGGAGGTATGTACAATATCAATAGATGTTTAAGTACAGCTGCAATGTATAAAGAGTGCCATCTACTGCCCAATGGTGTCCAACATCATCAGAACCTCCAGTCGTCGGATGGTGTCTAACCCCCCCCCCCCCCCCCCCCACCCATCAGCATAGTGTCCCCTCCCTCCATTAGCAAAACCCTGCACATCCACTGCACCTTGAGAAACTTGCAGAGAAATACATAGTTACTCTTTACCAAACATTACCATAAACACAAATATTAGAGCATTGAAATTTGTCTGTTTGTACAATTTATCATACCTGACTTGGTTATTACCATATATTAAATTACTAGAGCGTTAACTCGATGTACAAAGTAATGCCCGATGGGCACATCCATGTTTGTGCACAAACCTATGGAAAACTCGAAATTTTGTACGGATTTTTGTATGGCTATTTGCATATCTGCGTTTGTATTCCATACCGGTGCGTCATCGAAGCCCATACGCCCAAAACCAAAATGCATTATCAGCAAATGAGCGTTTCATTTTTTGAACCGTCATGACGCGCTTAAGTTGTTTGTGTATCTTCTACTTGCGCGTTGCATTTAGAGTACACTTTTAAAATTCAATCCATCTATTTTGATTGTGTTCTGCAAACACGCACATAAACTCAAAATGTCTGCGCCCAGAGCGGCTTCAAAGCGTCTCCGCGCGCAGGAATGAGGAGTTAGCGCTCTAGTAATTTAATATAGCTCTATGGTTATTACAAACCTTTGTTTCTTGCAGTATGCTGGAGGATTGTTCAGTCGTCTGGATGCACAATTCAAAGCTTCCTCACAGTTCTCCAAACCAGCGACAACGCAGGTCACGTTACAGAGGTAAGACACACAGAGATTCCTAGAAGAAATAATTGCTAAAGAAAGAATCACTATTATGTAACGTCAGTGCAGCAAATGCATTTGAAATGATTCCTCACAATAGAAAAAGTATATGAAATAATGGCTCCGTGCACAATACCCCCCATCAACGTTAAGAAAGGGGGAGTTGGGCGGAGACCACTTGGAGAGCTGAGCGTATTGCTGACGCCCGACGCTCACACGAAGATGCTATATGGCTTTGTGCAAATTGGGGGTGTGTACTTCATGCAATATGTGTGTCCCAACCACTGGGCTCTCAAAAGTGGCGATAGCGCCCTCTCCTGTTTGCCCACGGTGCCCATTGGGGACGTAACATTTTCTGAGATGCAAGTTTTGTTTGTGAGAAGTATCTCCACATGCTTGCTCAGTAGAGATTCCAGCTTATCAGCTCAAATGTCTAAAACAAACATGACTTACCAGCTTTTTCTACTTGTCTGACAATAAATCCATGTGTTTATAATTAGTTCAAATAAAATCAGGTATTTTTAAATTATTCAAGAAATGTGTGTACACCGTTAACACAATATAGTTCATGAGGATTGCTAATGATCAAGTTTTTGGCTCAAAAGAAAGAAATGACAGAATTCGTAGTACATTGGTTGCAAAGTTCAGATTAAGATAATTGTGTGTTTAGAATCTTGTAAGCCTCGTATACATTTGTTATTTGTTAATACTATAAATCAACTTTAAATGTTCTTTTTCTTGAATTAATTGCAGAGCAAAAACCAGGGCGAATCAACTGCGAACAACTTGAAAAATGACAGCAAATTACAGCAATAATGAAGTTCTAGAAGCTAGTCAAGAAAAGAGGGACAACTTAGGTTGTAAATTAATACTCCCAAGATAAGATTTAAAAAAACTGTAAATACTTGAATTTTAAGTTAAAATTTCTTCTGTCTTGTGTTAATTTATGGTATAATTTTTGTTTTAACATATTTGATTAGGTTTTTAAGCTGTTTTATTAGAAACACTTACCGGCAATAATTATTGCAATTTTTTTTTAAAAATATTTTTGAATAAAATAAGTCTCGAAATCTATTTGTTGACATCATTTGTTGAGTAACATCAGAAAGCACTTCAACAGAAAAGCCTTGCATTTTATTCAAATGACTAGAAGACTTTATACAATTTTAACATTTTAGTTACTTCTAAGGAATCAACTGAACAGAAATTTACAAAGACAGCATTGAATTACATTTTAATTAATGTTTTTATAAATTAAAAAAACAAATGAAATTTGTAAGTCTGCTGCTTTCTGTTATTTGACGGGTTTTATCTTCGCATCATTATGTTATGTTTTGTTTTAAATGTAAATTTACAGAATATTAATGCGTAAAATTGTTCAATGTGATATTAAAAATTATAGAACCGTTACAAGTAAACCAAAGAGATGACTTGTAACTTTTCCTTTCTAGCTGAGAGTGCTGCAGTGGTACACGTTTTAAATTTTGAAGCACTTAGCAAAGTTGTACAACTTCGCTCAGGAATTTCAAAGTGTTATTACTGTCTTATAAGAACTGCTTATCTATTGTTCAAGTTGATCAACAAAAACTGAAAAGCACCAAATATTGGTGGATTCTAAAACTTTTAACTGGCATAAACGCTGGACGGCACACTGAAATTATACATAGACTGCAAAATTATGTACAAGAGAATACAAATTATTTTACAACTGAATACGAGTCCTAATTATTCCTAGTTGGTATTCAACAAGTGCAGTAAAAAGCCACAAGTGGAAGGAGGCATCATAAATCAAATTCAGTGCTGGGAATTTTGGCACTGCTACCCAGGGAATTCCAAGCATACCTCATGCAGGGTGCATTCAAGCTAATGCATGCATGCCAGGTATGTTCAGAATTTTTCTGGGTAGCACTGCCAAAGTTTCCAAGATTGCATTCGATTCATCTTGTTGATATATAGCGCCTCTACCAGGGAATCAAAGACAAATCCAGCCTTGTCCCAAGACTAGTGTGATAAAGGGTCGTTGCACTTTTGCAGAACCTGTAATTTCATCACCACAAACAATCACAAAATTATCCATTTAATTATTTGTTCATAAATTCAAACTTCAAAACCAAGACAAGAACAAAAGCTGCAGCTGCCACAACACACCAACTTTACTTAGATAAATTACAGATAAAAGTCTGGCATTAAATTTGTTAAACATGAACAAAGTGCCATTTGAAATATTTCCTTCAAATGAATGGTTTAAGAAACTGAAAAACTGAAATGATAAACAGCTATGGACTTCATGCACAAGGGCGCCCTCGATAGTGAAAAGGAGAGAGGCTTGCAGGACATTTGGGAGCCATCTCGTCTGCCATGTGCGACAGACCCATTGAATTATACATGTGTACATCACAAACACAACAGTGCAATATTCAGTATAAACCCTTCTGTTTGTCAACACTGAGTGCCATTTTTATGGACTGCCAAAAGGGCCTAAATTTAAACCGTTGTTGACAACAGATTTGCCAACAAATTGCAAATTAACACCCTCATTATGTAAGAAAGACACATTTTTATTAAGTCTTTGGTAGCATTTGTTGGTTATTTATATTTCCAACAATCTAATGATATGTTTGCAAACATTAATAACTATTCTTTATTTTTGCAAATTTTGGTTGGCAAAAAGTGCCAACCAGGGGTTGGCAAAGGAAGGTCTATAGCCCACATCTCAAGACTGGTTCCAGCCTCCATTATTCAAACTCAAAGCAATAATGGAGGGAGTGGAAACCAGTCTACCTGCCTCCATTCATAAACGTATGCACAGCATGCATGAGCCAGTGCAAGCATACCTTCAAACAGGAATTCCCTGCGAAATGAAACAGCGCCCTCTCATGTCCATGCACACAATACAGTACTCTCCCGTCCAACATCAGGGCATAACCTGGTGGGCCATTTTTTTGTACAAAATCAATCTACTGTTTACAGCTAAAATTAAAACAAGGCACAATTTGGTCCATCATTTTCTTTTCAAGGTTTTTAAGTCTGTTTCATTTCCATGAAGTATAGATTTCTCGCTGAGCCGGCCACAAATTTGGGGACCGCGCCTTTCCGGTTGTTGTCCAGGCAGTAAACGCCGCGGGGCAGGTCGACCAGTCTACCTGTTGTCTGGATGAACATAGCAACAAAATAGAGCAAATAATGAATTTAAGCAAGATGAATGACAATAAAAAGATAACAAATCTGTGTTTATTAATGACTGTTCAAAGTCCGAGGAACTCCATTTGTTTCTGTGTGGCCCCGGGCCTTGCCTGAAAACTGGGATCATTGAAATTTGGCAATAAGGTTTATTTACCTACAATGTACATACTGCGTACTGTAAAAACGAAAAGGGTATTTTAAGGAAAGCCTTTAGGCAAATACAAACATTTACCATAGACCCTATGTTGCTCTTGAGCTGTGGATTTTTCATTTCACCCAATCTCAACCCCGGTAATGTATACATGTACCAAATAATATTTGAACTCAAAAATGAACTTTCACTGATGGAAAATCAGTAAATCAATTTTTATCCACGAATGTGTTTCAATTTCATCCTGGCAGATAGGTTTGGATATTTACAATGATACAGGGTTTGATGGTCGTCAGGTAGAAGTTTCATGGTTTATTACCTGTAGTGTTCCCCTGTCGATGACACGGACCATGTTGGCATCGCAGCCTCCCACTAAGACATGGTCCTTGCCTAGCCACTGGGCACAGTAAAGCTATTAAAAAAAACACAGAAAGAAACAGAAAACTTACTTTCTGAAAGATATCAACCTTCCAACTTGACACATTCAAACTGGGATTCACTCTTTCTTGCCATGGTGTGCGCATGAAATTGCTTTTTAAAATTACCAGTAGTCTAACAGAACTCATAAAAGCTAAGACTTCAAAGATAAAGAAATTGGTCAATTTTGTCCATTTTTTTATAACAGCTGGTCTCCAAAGCTGCTTTTAAATATCATTTGATTTTTTTTATTTTCTTTGTGTGTCATCTCCTTAATTTCATTTCTTCAAATAACCATGATTAATTGATCACATTTCTTTCTTTATCAACGTCAGGTTGACCTTGGAAAAATATAAACATTAAAGAGTGAAGCATAATTGGAACTTGCCATCTCCAGAAATTTCAAGCTCAAATCCAGCTAAACGCTTTCTTCAAATTTAACCTAATTTACGGATTTTTATATCTTGTGTCAGAATATTGAAAATATCACACTGCTAGCATTTATGTTGTTGGTATGATAAAATAAATGTAAAAGAAAAAAAGAAGTGAGAGCAAAGTTACCAGGGAGTTATTGAAGTCTTGCGGCACTGTGCGTATGAGATTGCTCTTGGCGTAATCCCAGATCTGTAAATTGTAGTCTTTTCTCCAGGAGCCAGTCACTATGTGGTTATGGTAGGGGTCGATATCTATGGCATCGCCGCATACATGTGGACCACAGATTTTCCTAGAAGATACAAAGAAAACACTTAAACAAGGAGCAGCTTCAGTTTATTCTGGTTCTGAGTTGAGTTTGTTTTATATACACTCACTAAAAAAAGGACATTTTGGGATTGCAAGTTTATGCCTGCAATTACATAGTTCCTAAATAGATGCAAATTTGGGTAGAAATCTAACATGTCCCAAAAGGGATACTATTGAAAGACACCCTCTAGAATATTGTTGAAAAATATGCCCCAATCAGGTTAGTGAAAAAAATCTACAAAGGTAGTAACTGATCATATAGTTATCAGGGTCGTTCGGAAATATACCCAGTTGTGGCATGCGGCAATAGCCTTACTGTCTTGATCAGGGTAGTTCTGAAATTTACCTAATCTAGGTAGTAACATAATATATCTCTGTTGGGGTAGTTACCTGATTTAGTGTTCTGTCCTGACATTCCAGAACTTTATAGTACCATCCCACCCACTACATAAAATATACCCCAGAAATTCTGGAATATACCCCATCAGGGTGATGATTCTAACAGGGTAGTTACCTGTTGGAGTGTTCTGTCCTGACATCCCAGAACTGTACAGTGTCATCCCAGCCTCCAGAGACAAACTCATCTACCTTGTCGGGATGAAACTTGAGAGAAAAGACCCTGAAACGATGGCCGTCCATCACACTCATGGAAGGACTGCAAAAAAATGGAAGGAAGAAATTTGATTGCTTTATTTATTTTATTAGATTATTTAATTAGATATTTTCCAAATTTGCAGAAAAAAGTTAAAATCTGAGTGAATCCTACATACCTGGGCTGGCAAGTGAAGATCTTCTTTCTAGTTTTATCATCGTACACGTTGATTTTCTCATCCGATCCCGCCGTGATGTACATGGAATGATCCTTGTTGTAAGCTACTGTCAGTGTCTGTCTGATCTCATGGGTAGTATGCAGGCAATCTCCAGTCGCTGTGTGCCAGAATTTCACCATTCCGCTAGCGTCTGGGATAAAAACAGAATAAGGAGTTATTCTATTTCTGTCTAGTTCTGCACCACACCAAAGTTTTAGTCTTGAAATGAAACATGAAGACAGAATTTATACTTGGTGGTTAATTATGTAGCAGTGACATCCATTTCTCATTGTAGTGTATTTGAAAGCATTTAAGTTCCTTTTTCTGTGCTTCCTTTTGAACATTTACAAAAAAACTTAGACTACTTACGAATTAACTTATCACTCTGAATTACTGGAAAAAAATTCAACAATATCCGACTTACATTGTAAGTTGCAAAAATCAGTTGTGGATATAAAATCGTAACAGAGTTTTCTAATGTCATTCATTCTAAATCTCCGACATGTTGGAGATATCTGGCAAACTCGTAAAGTTCATGAGGAGAAATTTTGTTTTCATATTTAAGTGATAATTAATCCTCATTTTGTGCAAGCAGATCACAACTGATTGAGCTTCGTTAAGTACACTTCTTACAAGTTGCCAGCAGTAGGTTCAGGGACTTGTCCCCCTCCTTGTATGGTCTGAAGACAATGCTTGTGCATGGCAGGTGGGAATCTTGTGTCTCTTGATCCGTCAGGTTGTACAGCGCCGAACCAGTGTCTGTGGAATATACCTGTTAGGATGAATGACACCTCATGAATATTTATGAATGATAATAATGTATCTGTAGATATTCATCAAGACATGTCAGTGCAGACGGGCATTTTATGTTTTTTTATTGGTCAGATTGGACATCTGGAATATAGACACCTCATGAATATTCATAAATGCTCTTAAAGAATCTATAAATATTCATCAAGAGATGGTCTGTGGCAAATGGGAATCTTGATTTGTCAATTTGTACAGTGCTGAACCAGTGTCGGTGGAATACACCCGTTGGGATGAATGACATCTCGTGAATATTTATGAATGATAATAATGTATACATGTATATAGATATTCATCAAGACATGTCCGTGCAGATGGGCATTTTATGTTTTTTTATTGGTCAGATTGCACACCTGAAACATAGACACCTCATGAATATTCATGAATGCTAATAATGTGCCATAAATATTAATCAAGAGACTGATCTGTGGCAGGTATCTTGCGGATAAAGTTGTTGAATAATCATGAAATGAATATTCATTAAAATTCACGGTGTTGTCTTTAAAATAATTTATCCAATAATGTCAGCTTCATATTGATCATTTTCAGAAAGAAAATTACACTTTTGAAGCATGCATAATTTTGAATATCGAGTTTGTGAAACTGAGAAACTACCATTCTTTCACCGCATTCTGCACTCATGCTTTTCTTTTTAAGATGCAAGAAAGCAAAACCAGAGAAAGAAATACATTCTTAATGACCTCCCAAAATTTCAATATTGTGAAAAAAAGTTGACTTGGCAAATAAGATCAGAACTGATTTCTTGTCCAAATTTACCTGTCAAGCTAAAAACAAAACAGAACTTTTTTCTAATTTAATTAAATTTTCAAGACGATCCTTTCCGCATTTGCAGAATCTCTCGTTTTCCAAATTTTCTGTGAACGCAGTTCAAATATTTCCCCAAACAACATTGTGTGTAAAAGAAAAAAATCTGTTCAACCACAATTTTTGGATTGATCACTGATGACCATAACGTGTCACCTTTACAAAGTAAATAGCACAGCGTCGTTGTGGACGTGAAGAGACTTCACTCAACAACCTATTAATCAATGAAGTGTACTTAAACACAGCTGCAGAAACAGTTCCATATTCCCACCAAATACTGTAAGTTTGAGTCCAAAATTTTGTTTCGCTTAATGCTACACGGTGGTACACGGTTACAGCAATGGAGATTTGTAAAATGATGTTGTTTACTAGATGGCCTGTTTAGCTCATGAACTCCATGATAATTTTTATCAAGGAAGCTTCAAAAAGTAGCTAAGAGTCCAATATTTTCCAGAAAATTGGAAATATTTGTTTAATATCCACGTTCTTTTTCATTCATGATTCAAGTATAAAAGAAGGAGGGTTGTACGGGCTTAAGTCCCTAAGAGTCCAATATTTTCCAGAAAATAGGAAATACATACATATCTGCAGAAATTAGTGGATTTTGACAAATCTGAGGAAGTAAAGGAATACAAATATTTGGGAAATCATACAATATGTTTCAAGTTCAAGATTACATTGAATGTAAATGGGTTGAAAATATATCATTTTAATGATCTGCTAAGTACAAATATTTCTTTAAATTTAAGGAAATTTTTCTTCTAAAACACTTAAAAACAGGCTACTAAATTAAAATGCCATATCACGTCAATTGTAGAATTTGCACAAGAGATTTTCAAGTTGGTGATCAAATTGGTGATCAATGGATGCAAAATATCTCATTTTAAAAATCTGTTAAGAACAGATTTCTTTACAGAAAATTTGCTTTAATTAAATATGCTATTAGCTTAAAAATGCCACGTCACATCAGTCATCAGCTGTCTCGGCTAAACATTGCTAAACAATTAATTTATTTCATCAACATTTCTGTGAAGCATTTCTATGAAATTGGGTCCTGACTGTTCACATCAAGTGAACAACACACCATGATGACAATTCTCACATGTATTTTGTTCAGGAAAATGATTCACAGCAGGTTCAATCGTTTTGGTGCGGCTAAGGGTCATTGAGTTGGGGCGGCTAATCACAGCAATTTGCCTACACTTTGTATGGTGGCTGCACTTGAGTTTGAAGAGGATCGCTCTTTAAACTTTACCTTTATGCTGCCGTCGACACATCCAACAGCCAGCAGCGTACCGTCGTCATTGTAACGACAACACATGACATCCTGGGTGCACTCCCTGCATGCAATTGGATAAGATACAACAATTTTAAAAGTATCTCAAGAAAAATTGGAACATTATGTCCCCAGTCCGCCAAATATTTGTTCAGGAACCAAACCAGTATTAAATTACCACAAAAGAAGCAGTCTAATATTCTGCACAGATTCTCAAACCTGTGTGTCACTGTCTTAGTTCTTGTGTTAGTTATTTATATTAACAGCATTTTGACCTGTCCAAAGTGATTGTATTTCATTAAAAGGTGAAACTGACCATAACCAGGGCACGCAAAACCCACTACCTTTGGCAGAACACGTAAACAACTTGCAGGTTTAATTGAAAATTGGAGTAGGCTCAAGTACAATGGCCAGATTAGTTTGCTAGGATCAAATGAAATGGAAAATCGCGAAGAAAAAAAACACAACAATCTCAAAATTAAGTCTTAATAATTCATTATTAACCCTGAACCCCCTAGGGTGTGTGAAAACTCCTATAAAAATTGAAAGATACAGGACTGTTACCACTGTTTTGGTTAAATTAGCTAAATATTGGCATGATTTGGCTAAGAATATTGACATCCCTTTATAAATGGAGACACAATACATTTTTCTATGGCTGTGTTGCAACATCTTTTCAGCCTGTCAACTCATCCAAATTGAAGTTATTAATTTACCTTAGATGAATCTTTGCTGATAAATGTGATGATGAATGTGTGTTTTTTCAAATGTCACCCTGGTGCATCAATTCATTATTAATTTTTTCCATTGTTAACTACCGATAAGCCTTGAGTGTCCTAAACACGCACCGTCTGGTAAGAGTAAACACAGCAGTCTGGCTATTATCTTGGTTTGTTGAAAGGAATTACCAACCAACTTTGAGAATTCTATGAATACACACTGCAATCACAAGGTGCGGATTATCAACAAAATCTTTAATAATTAAGTGCTGACTGATGAATAGACTGAGAATAAATATAAGATTTCGAATGGGCTCAAATCTGGAAAGGATTTTCTTTTTTTTCCAATTATTGTAATCTGATTAGTTTTATCTTTAAAGGGAATATACAACATTTGCAAACATCGAAAAATAAAACTACCAAGTTTTTACGAAATACCTTACTAGGATGTTGGTAAATGACAGTCTCAAGCATCTTGTAAAATTATGGCACCTGGTGTGAAGTCATTTTCAAGAAAATGGTATTTTTGTAAACATTTCCAATGGTGGTCGGCCGACCAGCGTTGGAAAAACCTAACTATTTTTTAACTACTGCTCCAAATTTACCATTTTTTTCAGTCCAAATTTTGTTTGCTATTGGTTACATGTTCCGTGAACGGGTGCAGGCCAGCTAGACTGGTTCCCTTACCTTACAATTTTCCAACATCTATAAATTGATCCATTTTATCTTTTGTGGAGTCAGGGAACCAGACTACTTGAACATTTTTGTTTTTCTTGGTTTTTCCAACCTTTTCGAACACCAAACTTCAAAAATGTCAGTGTAACAATATTTGATCTATTATACTAACCTCTCAAATAGTTCATTTCTGAAAATTACAGCAAAAGCCAATGATGTACATTCCCTTTAAGGGCATATCTAGGATAATTTGCTAAAAATTAAAACTGTTATGAAATATCCTATTTCATAGTATATCCTATTTCATAGTAGGAATTAATAGGATCAAACATCCTGTGAAATCGTTTGGCCTAGTATGCTGTGATTTTCACGAAAATAGGACTAAATACTCATTTCCTTGCAATGGTTAGGACCCAAGGCCAAAAAATAAATAATAGTTCTGCTTCCGGTTTCCCTACCTACCCTTTTTTGACAGCCCCTACCCCAATTTTGTTTTGGGAAAAATGAGGAAAAAAACCCAAAACCATCAATTGCTACCTTTTACCCTTGACTACATGCACACACCTATATATGATGAACACACAAAAAATCCCCCCCCCCCAAAAAAAAATTCCCTACCTACCTACCCTATTTTCAAATGCCATGTAATCGGAAGCAGACCTTTTTTTTTTGCCTAACCATTGCGTTGTCAGTAGAAACTATAGATGCTTTGTGTCGAGAAAAATGAAGATATGTATTTTCGCAGTTTACTCAAAAAGTGCCACTGAGCTGAAAGTTCAACAGATTAGATTTTTAACAGGATTCCGAGTGGTGTTATTGTACACGCATGAACAGCAAATGACACGAATGATCCTCTATGCCATTAAAAGCATTTGAGTTTTAATAATTTGACAACATACAACATGTAGCATTAATAAACAAAATCAAATTTGTGTTTTTAAAAGGAAGAAGTTAACTGATGTTGAATCAATTCTCAGCTAAAAAAAAAAACCTAAAATTTAAAGTAAACTGGGAAGATGGTTTTGAACAATACAGAACGTATTTAAAACACTTTTTTTATCCAATCATATTTTACAGATATTTTTAAGTTAACGGACAATTTAATGAAAAATCACAAATTTCTTACTGAGACAAAATTTGTTAGAGAATATACATGTACATACTAAAATCCTTATAACAGTTTAATTTCAATTCCATAAAAACAAGGTACAGCATAAACATTATAAAGTTCAACCTCTACCTCCATGGTTCAACATTGTTCAATAAATGTTCAAAACAAGTTAGAGGCTATTTTATTAAAAATTGTAAACAAAAATTATACTTTGGCAGGCTTGTATTAATTAGAAATTAGAAAGACTAGTTTTAATAAAAATAAACCACTTTTTTATTACAACTTACACTGTATGTAGCAGACGCAAGTTACCCTCTGCTATGGGATGCCGTGGCGGTGCTTGGGGTTCCTCATAATCGCCAGCAGACGGTGCGACACTCATCATACTCCGCGGTGTAGAAGTCTTGGACGACAGAGCATCGGGACTCGGACTTGGTCTGGCTTGCCTTGCAACTCCGGCCCCAGATACACCAGCCAAAGTGTACATGTTGACAACTTGAGGAGGCTCAACCGGTTATTTATTTACTTGTTTGGCTTGCCAGTGCTCAGTTACTGGAGGAAAGGTGAAATAAGGGAGCGAATTTGAGACCCAAATTCTTCGGTTTCCGGGCACGAGTCCGTGCGCGCAGCTCGGTGTAGTGCCGTAGTCCAGCGTACGTGCGCAAAGGCAACCCGGCAAAATCACCGTGCTAAACTTGAACTTTGCTCGCCTCAAAACCTCTACGAGGAAGTCGACTCCGGTTCTTTTCACTTCGACACTGCTCTCTGACACTGGCAAATAAACAGTGAATTGATTCGGAACAACTATATTTCCGTAATTTGATATATTTTTGAGGCAATTTTGTAGGCGCAAGGGAACAAATCCACTTAGCAACGTTGGTGTCTACTTGACCTACTTTTAGGGGTCAGCCTAGTTGGTTTAGTTGAATCAAGTATAGGGATGTTTTAAATTAAGAAGTTTCAACAAACTTTTTGTTTTAAGAAATATATATTGAAATAATCATTTAAAATAATCTAAATTATATAAAAGTTATAATTTTCTTATTTGTTGCTGGATATGTGGTGTTTACTGTTCAAGATGAAATACTAAAAACACCTTGGATATTTCAATTTCCCTGCGTATAAATATGGAAAGGTCGCCATAGACATTATTTCTCTTCCGGGTCAGAAGCGGGAATTTTCAACGCGCGTTGTGTCATTTCCTCGGTGTTTGTGCGGTCTCTTTTGCCACCGTCATTACTGTTTATGCAGGTGTTTTGAAACTTTCTTCTGCTTTCCTATTCTCCCATTGTCATGTTAATAGATTTCATTATATTACTGCGGAGAGCCAGGGTTTTTGTCGGTAATTTCAAGGGGAACTTCACTGCTACCGCGGGACCGGACGTCGACGTTCGACAAAGCAGACGAGATTACGAGGTCCAGACTGTTCCGTTATGATTTGGCGTGCATGAGACAGGGTACCGACCCAAAGGGGGTGGGCGGGGCTAGGTAGGTCATGCGCCGGGGGGGGGGGGTGCTTTTACATCACTCTACTTTGATGACTTAGTTCTTATCAATAAAAAAATTAACATGTATTCATATTATACGTTGTCCGTACAAACGTTTTTCTAAATTTTATTTTAAATGAAATTTGACTATTTCTAGCACGACTAGGTCAAGGCCTAAACGTTACTTCTCACTGATAATTCTACCTCCATGCAACAAGTTACCATTGTAACTGGGACCCTACATCATATAATAGGCTTTTATTTTAAAACGTTAGAATTATCTTCAATTCAAAAAGAAGAGTCCCTGTGTAAACTTGCGCCTCGATCTTAACCTATACTAAAATAAACCTAGAATGTTAATTTAATTCAACCTTTTATAATTATATGCAGATTTGTTTCATCTTGACTGATGGCTCACCAGCCTCCACGCCCTCCAGATCCGCTGTTTGTTCTCCGAGGTTCCAAGGACGCAGTCAACTGTGTCAAATTCTATCCATCAACCCATACTGAGAAAGGAAGACTTCTATCAGGGTAAGACAATTGGATGGCCATTGACTCACTGTTTTTTTTTCTGTTCACAGAGAAGGCCAGACTGTAGACCTCACGGGCAGTACGTGCTGTTGTATTGGATTACTCTAAAATATCTTGGCTCCAATCTAAATACACAGGCAACTATCTGACAGTGACAGGGCGGACAGGTCCTGCACCTCTGGCGTCTAGGGAGTGTTCTGGCATGTGAGACTACGCCCAAGCTTAAATATACCAGCCAAGAAACAATCAACATTCCATGCAATCTCTTCTATGCTGTATGTGGTTCACTAAATTCCTAAAGTCCCTATTACAACAAAAGATCTAATTTGACTATCTATGGCCCTACTGGAAAACCTAGATGCACTGGATGGGAGAATGCCAATCTAAAGACTATTGTACTCCTTCACCTGAGAATTCAATAGCTGTGCTGTGTGGAGAGACATACAAGATTAAAGGAACAGTTTATTTATATAAAAAAATGAAGTTACTCATGACACAATGAACTTAAGACTGCAAGTGAATAGCCATTCTGAATCACTTCTGAGACCATTTTTATGAGGCTTGCTTTAATTGTCTTGCTTGTTAGGAGTGGGTGTGGGGAGGTGAGAGTTTGGAATCTGGAAAGCAGGAGAACAGAGACCGTTCTCGATGGTCATGACGGCAAGAGTGTACTGTGGGTTCAACCCATCAGCAACGGCCAAATAATCAGGTAAAATGTCATTGTTTTATTGCTTTTGTTTGATAGAAGCTATGCAAGAAACAGCAAAATAGAACTCAAGAAATATGAATTTAAAAGTTGAAAGGGAAAAAATTATTGTCTTAATGATGTAAAAAAAAATTGAGGAAATTCAAAATTTAACCTCTGTACTAGGAAAATTGCTACCCTCAAACTTTTGGCATTCTTAATTTTTCCATTTTTAGCCTGGTTTTCCTTTTTTTTTTCCTTTTTCTTTTCCAGCCAGGGTCGGGATGGCAACATTCTTACTTGGGACATCGGTGAAGGCAGACGTGATGTCACAACACGGTTGCCAAGCAACGCACTGACATTCTGCAAATGTGACATCTGTAACCAAGGTAACAGAAAAAGAAAAAAAAAGGATCTCTTAAATAATGCCCTACCATCACCAAAACTTAGTTCCACCCTTTCAAATGTTATGCTAATGTCAAATCAGTTGTTGCTCATGTCAATCCTTGGTTTTTATTCAAGATTTATTTGTTTGCTTTTTATCGCTGAAGGGAGCCCTCTTGTGGCAGCTCCTGGCCAGGACTCAGAGGTTTGCATCATTGACCTAAAGAGCGAGACGGTTATCTGTGGTTTGAAAGCTGACAAAGATATCAAGAAATTTGGTGAGTTTCTTCTTTTGAGAAAAAATATTCTACAGCCTGTCACCCTCACAGATCTAACAATTCTAGATTATTTCATTCACATTTGACCATTCCTTCATTTATATTCAGGGATGCCCATGTGCGTAAAATTCATTGATGAATCGAGGCTGCTGATTGGCTACGAGGCCGGCCAAGTTGCATTGTGGGATACCAGTGCTCGGACGATGCTTGATAACAAACAACTCCATAGTGAGGCAGGTAAATAACACTATCTTTTTTTATTTGCATATTTATGTCAATACATATAACCTTTATAAATTTGTTCCATCAGCCAACAAGTGTAAAATGAGCCCAACCAGTTTTACACTGAAAAAAATAGCACTCTGTCTTTCAGTGACCTGATCCTAATACAAATAATTGTGTGAAATGTTTTCTCATGTATTCCCTGATTTGACAGTAATGTGCCTGGACTATTCCACTTCATCCAAGAGGGGTGTGTCAGGATCTGCTGATGATAAACTCATGTGTTGGACAGTCAGTGAGGTAAAATGAATTACTTTCCATTTAGAAACGCTTTTTGAACAAATATGAAATGTTGACATTTAAGTCTCAGAAATTGGTTACCCACACATTTTTCTCATCTAGGAACTGAACCTATTAATGAGAAGTCAATAAAAGACACTTCACTTTTAATACATTGTTGGTTTTATTAATAGGCGGGGCTAACATTATCAGCAGAGAGTACTCTCACCAATCCAGGAATATCCGATGTATGCATCAGACAAGATGACAAGATAGTAGCATCGGCAGGCTGGGATTCCAGGTAAAATGAGTCCATGTGTCTAATATGCAAATAGACCAATCCAATAAGCCCCGCCCCATGAAGTTTTGGCCAATCAAAGCTGTGATTTATGTCTGCCATGCGTGCAACAACAGCCTTATTGGCCCTGAGGTGGGCGGGCCTAATGGATTGGTATATTGGTCGTGCAATGGGCCTGGCCTAATGTATCAGTCTAGTGGCCCTGCAATGGGCGGGGTCTAATGAGTTGGTCTATTGGTCCAGCAGTGGGCGGGGCCTAATGGATTGGTATATTGGCCCTGCAGTGGGCAGGGCCAAATGGATCGGTCTGTTGGTCCTGCAGTGGGTGGGGCATAATGGATCAGTCTATTGGTCCTGCAGTGGGCGGGGCCCTATGGATCGGTCTATTGGTCCTGCAGTGGGCGGGGCCCTAAGGATCGGTCTATTGGTCCTGCAGTGGGAGGGGCCTAATGGATCAGTCTATTGGTCCTGCGGTGGGTGGGGCCTAATGGATTAATCTGTTGGTTCTTCAGTAGGTGGGGCCTAATGGATTAGTCTGTTGGTCCTGCAGTGGGCGGGGCCCTATGGATCGGTCTATTGGCCTGCAGGGATACAGCCTAAGTTTCCTAATTATTACGTAACTTCTGACCCCTGTGACATTTGACGTTCGATTCCCTGCCATGTTCCTTGGTTTGCAGGATACGTCTCTTTGGTTGGAAGAAGTTAAAACCTCTTGCTGTTCTGAGCTACCACCGCCAAACCATCCACACCGTAGACTTCTCACCCCCACTTCAGGAATTTGACTCCGCCCAGATTTTAGCGGCAGGCTCAAAGGACAAACACATAAGTCTCTGGTCCGTCTACAATCCAAGCTGACCATGGATCATAATGAATGACTCTTCTTTCCATATCAAACTTGCTAAGGGCAGAAACACACCAACCGCCAAAAAATTATTGGCTTACCCTAAAAAAACAGGTTACCAGACAAAATGTACTATACCGCTGATATGGCTTATGACTGGTCTGCCGCTAATATTTGTCAAGCACAAAAAAATTGATGGAGCGGTATTTTCTTACCATTTGTACTGGTTTAATGCATATGTACATCGTGTGAATGGGTTCTGGGAAAACAAAAATCCTATTATTCTGAGTTCCCTTTAGTTGGCCCTGTTTTTTTATGATCTTCTCCAGTTGAGATACACTAATAAGTAACACAAATGAGGTTTTAAATTCTTCTCACACTGTGAATTTGTTTTGGAAAGGGTATAGTTTTAACAGCAAGTATAACAACTGTGGAATTATAGAAATTATAATGAGGCAGAAATTGTTAATTCAATTAATAAATATCCAAATATCCAACAACGTTGGATTTACGCCAATCCTTTGCTGAAATTACGGTGACGGTTCTGTAGACTGGGACGCTTTCATTCTGGAACACCCATCACACATGTGTTTTGTATAGCTCTGAACTCGTCGCTAACGGGGAGTGCACTGTGAGAAATACCGCAACGAGCTTCGGAGGAGCCAGCCTAGCCATCACAAATAGTGGGCAACTTGGATTTATCTGTGCACATATTGAATCTGAGGAGTAACAGTCCTACAAGTCATGTCACGATGGATGTGATTATAATCTGAAGAATGAAGTTCAAGTTTTAATCCAGATAATCGACTATCACGTGGATGGGCATGTGCAATGTTCACAAGCACCGCAGGCCTCATTTGATGAACCGTCGACACTTTTACTCTCTGTACTCTTCTCCTGTCCTGCTTGCGATAATTTCATTTCCCCGAGGCTTTCCACTTCCACGGTGACTCGTGTCAGCCCTCCGGCTTTCCTCGGCCGTGATTTTCTGGCTGGTTTTGGTGGTAAGTTCACCTCGTTGTTGACTGTCCATGGCCCAAGGCTAGAGTTGGAGTAGAAGTCCATGGGATAAGTTGCCTGCCACTCAATGGACTGAAGTACAACCGAGGCCTGCAGTGTGAGTGAATATAATTCACAATTTCATTTTTGGAGTCTACAGCCGTACTTTGAGATACAGCCTATATAATACATTGTACAGGCAAAACATTATTGTAAATTCAGAATTAGGCATACGTTAGAAGCTAGAATAATAAATATATATGTCACTTTCAATGAAGTAACTTGTAAATTTCTTAAGAAGTTCGTTTTGGAAACTTCAACGACAAATTTCCTGTTTTTTTTAACTTTCAGAGGCCCGAAATTTGGGAACTGAAAGATTTTGTCCGATTCCCATTAAATAAATAAACGTTTTCAATCCTAACAGATTCTTTCCCAAAGTTTATGGGGAAAAACTTATTTAACTCATCATATTGTCTGCCATATGCATATGCAAAAAATTAATTCATTTGTTACAGTATTCCCATTGCAACTACTCATTAGGAAGTCATTTAGATTTTGCCTGCCAAACTTACTTCATATGGAGACAGTAGGGGCTTCTCGAATGCGTATCCCCAGTCAATGGACAGGCGAGGGCAGGCTATCTGAATCCATCTACGCATAAAAATAATGAGCAATTGGTAACAGATTAGCAGAATTATAACCTTCACCTTAAAAATTCCTTAAAATAATGCTTTGCTATAATAAACTCATGCCACATTGAAATTTTACTCTTTTTTTTAAACAAAGCACGAGTTGTACACAACTTAATCATCAATTAAAGCAGATGTACTAAATTTGTATTATTTTTATATTATGTATATGTATGTTAAAGTCCAAATAAATAAGAAATTTGACTTTCAGATCATCAACCAAAATTAACTTTTTTTTTAATTTGACAAGAAGTTGATTGGGCGAGGTTTGAAACTGCGACCTCCAGATTGCCGCTCCGGTGCTCTACCAACTGAGCTATCCAACCCTATGTTGGCGGTTCCCCAATTTGTCAATGTCTTTGTTTAAGGGGCGCTAGTCAGAAGCCGTAAGCCTGTTTATAGCATAAATAAACTTGTTAGAACCCGATGTTAAATCATGGAAACATAATAAGAAAAAAGTCAAGACTGAAGACAATTCTTACGCATCAACATCCGGAAGAAGCTTCAATTTATCTGGGTAGATTTCAGAGAGAAGCACCAAGACGTATTCTTTACCAGCGGCCTTCAGTCGTGACTGGAGTTGCTGTAACAAAAGTGAGATCAACATCCAGAAATGTAAGCGAAATATTCAAGATTTTTCCACTGTCTGTTTGTGAATGAATAGTATCCACTATCCCAATCATTTGCGTGCATTCCTAACAATGGAATTCCCAATTGCAGACCACATAACCAAGGCTGATACAATGAAGATAACCCACTGCTAAAACCTTCTGATAACAAGCTCTTAAATTTTCAAGTGTCTCACCTCCAGAACTTTGGGTGATCCTTGTCTTCCTAGAGTTCCTAGAATCAGCCCGAATGTCTTAGCTGTACAGGCCTGTTTGATGGCCGATTGTCTCAACTCATGCATCCTGTCAGTCTCATAATACTCCTTGGAAAACACCTTACTGTACGGATCATATCTACAAAAAGCAATCACGACAAATCATGCTTCATTAAATCCTCACATTTATCATGTGTCAGTGTTGTAGTCAAGTCCATCACAAGTCCAGTCACAAGTCACAGTGGATGAACAATAACAAAGGAATGCCTTTGTCAAAGCTCATTTGAATAGCTTCTGATTTGAATTGGGACTGCAGGACCTGTGATGGACTTGCAGGGACTTGTGATAGACTTTACTACTGTTGTTGTCTAGTAAATATTATTGAGGCCAAATTTTGAGCATGCAAATAAGTAAAAAGCTACCAAATGAAATGGAACAAAAATGAATGAAACATATTGTAAATAACGAACCTGTATGCCTGGATTCCTGGGTTGGCAATCATAACAGCTTCTAAGTGAAATCTCCCGTCTCCTAAATATCTGTCATGAGAAAGTAATTCACTAGGATTGAAATGTTTTGCTTGCTAAATTTTCACACATTTAAGTAGTAAGAGATTGGGAGGAGTCAATAGAAAAGTTTGGACTGTGTCTTAGATAAATTTGTTATCTTACATGATGTTGTCGACGTTGCTCAGCCTCGGCGCTGTACATCCAAGGATCTCCCCTGGTGACAATGGTTTACATTGGGGAATCTGTACACTGTAGTCTGGAGTCAGTTGCTCGTACGCAGACTGTAAACAAAAATTCAATTCTGAATTTTGAAAGATGAAAAATCAGCGGAAGAACAATTTGAGTAAATTTCATCAGCTTCCAAAGTTTGCCTAGCACTTTTGTTTTGTACACTGGAAATTTCAAATTTCCAAAAATCCATTTTTCTTAAGTAATAATATAGTTGTTGAGAGAAATATTTTTAAAGGCAAGTTGAAATTTTTCTGAAGCCAGAAGAAAATTTCAGCAATTCCCAGTTGTGGTTGATTATGCACAAATATTTTGGAATTTAAAGGAAAACATTTCTCTGGATACCTGCAAAGCTGCCACAAACTGGATAGTACTGACGAGAGCGATTGAAGCCCTGGGATCAAGGTTGTGTCTGATTGTGTCAACGAAGTGCGCTGTATCAATCCGAATGTCAACGAACACATACAACATGTTGATGCCCTCTGTCATACTGATAGGAACTGTTGATAAAGGAATTTATTTTTGATCAATTTTGTGAAATAAATTATGTAAAATCAACAAATACAGGATAATCTCTTTCAAGTTTCAACTTCATTAAATAGCTTGTAATTCCTCCATATACATGTATTTGTTCCTTTTCAAAATTAAAACTCAGTTCTTTTCTGTTTGCCGATTACTAATTAAACATTACACAGAAATGAGTTTTGCACCGTCTCAGTAACTACACATAACCTCGTAAACTCTGGATAAAACAAATATATTGCAAATGTGTGAATTAAAAGAAAAAAGATAAAAAGGAGGCGGGCAGGAAAAGAAAGCAGGCAGGGACGGGAACCTGGTTTTCTTCTTTACTTGGCCTTATTGGCTTGCTGGTCTGTAATGAGAAGACAAAGAACATAAGAAAATAAATAACAAGTCAAGTTAAAGGTCTTACAAGTGAGTGTAGAAAAAGGAAGATTTCTTGGGCTTACCGAGACAACTGTGTCCATAGTGCACCATTAGGTCTGCGCCTAATGCTTTGGCTGTGTAGTCATCCACGCAGCATGCGCCATATGTGACATCACCCATGATCAATGTGTCAGCATCCGTAAATCTGGTTAAAAATTGTGAAGATTATTTGATAAGTTTGCTTTTCTGTCTGAATCAACTCTTCCATAATAATAATTTTGAAAAATTATGTAACCCAACTCATTCCAGAAGTTTAACCCTTACTCTCTGAGGGTAGTTTACTGCATGTCAGTTGGTTATGCCAATGCCCTCCAGCTGCAGTTATTTGGCAGATAACAAGTCTTAACAGTGAAGGCTCCAATTGGCAGGAGTTGGAGGCCCTGGAGGGTGCCTGATACTGACCAGCTGGGGGCACTCACTTTGTTATCAGAGGACTCTCATTGTTCTCTGTGGCATGTATTGGAGTGCCTGTCCAGTTACCCTTGAAATGACATGGCAGATATTGGAGGGCCATGCAAAAAACATAGGAGATTTTCTTGAGGCACAATTGGCATGCATTGGAGGGTCAAGTAGGGTAAGGGTTAATGAAGTACAAGTATCAAACAACTTAACAAGTAGTAAAAAATGCATTCCTATGCTTACCTTTCTATAATATCTGCAATGGTGCAGGCAAACATGAGCAGGCCTTCTGGAAACTGTAGGGCAACTACATTTTAAAAATATATTATTAAAGTCGTATAGCAACTGTCAACAAATTACATTTCCAAGTTAGTTTTAGAAATGTAAAAATTAGCACTTCCTGATCTTTTGATCCGGGAAACTTCTTTTGCCTTTGAGAACTTCTTTATAAGATAAAAAAAAAATCGGCTGTTCCTAACATTTTGATTTATTTTATAAGTCGATAAGTAGTTTGCAGCTGGTCGCCCAGTCTTTGATTTAAAACTTCTTTTTTTTCAGTTTACCTCGTTTGGTTCCAGTTGACTTAATCCGCCATACAGTCTTTGGTATTTCAAAGTTGTAGTTTGAAGGGAGCTACAAAAAAACAACAACGTTAAACACTGTGAACAATGTATTGAACAATGTATAACTTTTTACACCAAAAATAAACTTTCTATAAAATAGTATCCATAACAATTTTGACCACTGGCATTCACTTACTTGTTCAAGGGCATTCTTTAATTCTGGATTTTTTAGGATTTCCTCTGGAATTTGATGAGCTACTTTCAAACCTGCAGAGGTAGAAAAAGGGCCAAAATATTTACCTTTAAATTTAGGCACCGACAGTTAAAACAGCTCTTTTTTATATAAAGAAAAAAACAATGAATTTTTTTAAACTAGGAGGACTTTTTTTTGTTAATCAGTGTATATACAGGTTCCTCTACGTTTCATGTGTCAATGCTCAAAGAAATCCGAAAAAATTACATCTCAGGGTGTGCGAAGTGCTGTGCCAAAACCTCCCGCCACCCCTCACTAGGCCCCGCCCCTCCGAAGCCCCATTGGTTTGTGCGTCCGGGAACTGGGCACATATTTTAAATCGACCAAACCTACGATTTCCTTCAAGAAATTCAAGTAAAACTTCACAACAATTTCATAAAATGTGACATTAACCTTTTCCACCGACAATTCGTCTGGGTTGAGAATTCTTTGCAGAAATAACTACAGTTTTCTCTGCCATCGTGCTTCGTTCGTTGTCCGAATATGCAACTGATATCAGTGCGGTGACCAGACGTCATGGTATACAATATCAATGATTTCTTGTCGAGCTGGTGGGCCCGACTACACTTTGTTACAACTTCGTTCTCAAACTTGTGCGCTGAACAAATGTCATACGACTCATGATATACCCTGTAGACAAGGTTAAATATTTGGTTACACAATATATAATGCACCCTTCTAAATAATACCCTTTGCGTATCATCAACGCAACGTTTGTCCCCGATGCACCTTTATTTAGAAGGGGCATTTTGTTTCGCATAATCACCAACAACAAACGTACGCTGAACGTGTTTACGGGAAGATTTGTAAGTGCGCGGGAGTAAAACAGTTCAAAATCCACCTCCATCGATTCGAAGATTTATTATTTTGGCTGATTAACTTACCAGACTTGAAGGCAAGATGTCGATTGGTGTTCCCATCAAGGTTTTGCACGAAGCAGAGGGTCACGTCGTGACTTGCGAGACAAATACCGGGGAGGTGTACCGGGGAAAGTTGATCGAAGCTGAAGACAACATGAACTGCCAGATGACCAACATCACAGTCACGTACCGAGATGGCAGGGTTGCGCAGCTAGAACACGTCTTTATCCGTGGTAGCAAGATCAGATTTCTAATACTGCCGGACATGTTGAAGAATGCACCGATGTTTAAGAAAACTGGAAACAAAGGGGGCACAGTTGGAAGAGGAAAATCGGCCATTCTACGAGCACAAGGTAAACAGAGAAAGTCCAGTTTTTTTGTCATTTGCAAATTTATTGTAAAATCATCATCGAATTATTTGTTTAATCAAATCCTCAACAGGAATTTATATGCAAAGATTAAGAATCAATCAACTTATTAACCTAATGTTTAGGCTACTTCCATTTTCGATTATTTAATTCATCAAGATGTTTGTGCAGATATTTTATTTGTTTAGCCATTTTTCTATTCATTGAGCCTGAGGTGTGTATTAAATTCCCTATTAAAATTTTGAATTTCTTTTTTCCCTTCTCTAAACAGCGGCAGCAAAAGGCAGAGGGCGAGGAAATGAAGGCGGCCGAGGTCGCGGCAACGTCTTCCAACGGAGAAAGTGAAACTGAACTGACTGTTTATATCAAGTCTTGTAAATAAAGCATTGGATTTTCAGTAATTTGAGGTTTCTACATACAGGAGTCTGCGATGCATTGCTACACTGGAAAAGGAATGTTGGGCTACCTGTCTTGTCTTCAAGGAAAATAGCTGATGGCGACACATTTTGAGCTGTTCACTATTGACGTTAAATCCTACTTCTTGGAATTTCTGCTGTTAACAAAGAGCAGGCAGTCCTTGGATTTTCAGATTGAAATGTCCTTGAAGAATGTTTTATAGTCATTGTTTAGGGTTCAAACTTGACCCAGCAGTAACTGGGGCGCTAGAACTCAATTCTTGAAATTTTGTTTTGGAATGGTCGTACTAGCACCCCAGATGATCTATTGCATTAAAACGGCAATCTCATAATTTGCCAACCATCCTACTCAAAATATTGCCAACATTTTCTAGCTGAGAAATCACTGTCATGACTGTTCTGGAAAATTGTTTCATCAGGATGTTGCAGTTAAATATTAACATTGCAACTAAGATGGGCATCAGGATGACCGCCAATTGTTAAAACTTTAATGCAATCTGACCAACATTTGTGGCAGTTACACTTCATGAATGAATCAATAGTTGAAGATCGTTCAGTGCCCCAAAAGGGGGCAAGGAAACATATGTAAATAATTTTCCTCATTTTTGTCAGTTTTGATTTAATTAGTAAGTGAAAGTCCATCATGTTTATTTCTTTTGTATTTTTGGGTAAAAATAATGTTTAAAAAGAAGTCTGAACACAATGATTTCATTGTTCCCATGAAGTTGCTGAAGGGGGGGGGGGATTGATGACCTTTTTAAAGTATAAAACAAACTTCTTCAGAGAGCTCGTCTGTGACAAACAACACTCCAAGTTCATTGGAAAAAAAAACTGCATTACGTCCATTTTTATTTAAATACACATTCTCCATTGGAGAAAATTTATTATGGAACATGTTTCTTCCTGCATTCGTTCATGATCAGTGACAGAATAGCATACACACAATTGATAGCTCATTGAAATAAACCATTCTATTTTATACCCTGTTTTACTTGAATACTCCATTGTTTATTAACGAACACTTGTACTGTGTCCATTCCATGACAAGTAAAAACGTGATTCGCCCACAATTGATATTTAACTTCATATTCAAATTGCAGATAATGTATCCCAAACCTACATGTTTGTATCTAGTATATTTAAGAAGTACGTTGTTTTTAAACCTTGAGAAAGAAGTAACCAAATACTATTCATGGTTTTAGCCAGCAGTTTTGTGGTGGTCTTGTCGATGTCATAATCATTGCCACATTATCAAATCTTTTAACTAGTACGGCAGATCGGTGATGATAAAAACACAGCATTTGGCACACAGTCAGTGTATGTCATGAGAAAGATATTTGGCTATAGGGCTGACGCAGATTTGTCCTTTGAAAAAATCTGGTTAGAATAACAAGCAATGGCAGCCATTTTAAAAATTTTGAAAATGGCTTGTTATTTTACCTGTATTTTTTTCAACGGACAAATCTGCAATGGCCGTAGAGCTAAATATCTTTCTTAAGACACAGGCATGCAACTTTTCCTAGGATCAGCTGATTTCCTCTCTTTTTTAATTCCCATGTGTGCCATTCGAAATAGAAAAACACTGTACAAAATCTTGGACAGATTTGAATTTCCTCTTTTTGTGACTTCCCAGTTGCATGCCTGAACATACTCTGACTGTCAAATTCCTGCCTGTATCATCAAATAAACAATCCACCAAATGTTTCACCTATCTGCCTCACTAAATCCTTAGTAGTTCAATATCAATCACATTCATTCACATAATTTTCCTTTAAAATTTCAGTAATCCAAATGACACAAAATACTCTCAGAAAATTATGAGGTTTTAATTTATTTTAACATAAATCCATCAAGACTGACAATTGCATATAAATCCGTACTTCCTGATTGTTAATGCATTTGATAAATATCTTGCATGAAAAAAAGCTTTTGGTATGTTTTAAAATGAACTTGTTACTAATTTTGACTAAAAAGATAAAACTTGTTCTATTACTATGAAAAAAAGGAAGGCAATTGGACATGGTCCAGAGTTTTGATTCATTCAATCTCACTTAAAGTACAGTTTGCTTGAAACATGCACATGGTGTTTTCATCAAAACTTCTGTTCTGTTGGTCTGATGAGGATGTCATGCACCTAAAGGGGAAAAAAGTATGTAAAACATTTTGTAAGAAAGCAGCCTCAATTACTGTGGACTACAATATGGAGTAGATTTCCAACACTTATAAACAAAAAGTTGCCTCAAGCTTTCAATTTTTTGGGGTCGAAATTCTTATTCATAATTATCAACAGTGCAAGACACTGATTTTTTTGGCTCAAGATATACAGAGTCTTTCTGTAAAAAAGAGACTAGGTATATCTAGTAAAAAAAGCTGGTCTCATTGTCATAAGTCACAAAATTCTATTTAATTGATTCAGAATGACTGGATGGGCCGGATTTAGCCCATTAACACTAGGCTGGCCCGCTCCTCAGACACGGGCAAAAGTTGCATTAGTATGAAACTTGCTGAGATAAAGGGTTCCTTTGGAATAAGCGGGGTACATTTTTAATTAGAAATAAAAAATTAAAAAACTTCAAGACGGGTTGTGCACATACCTGAACATGGGTTGGGGCCCCCAGTACATACAGCATACTGTCAGTGATGTCATCTGCTAACAATGGCTGCAACGAAAGTAATAACACGAAATTACAGTTGAGAAACAAGAATCAAGAGCTGAAGGCATAGGTTGTGCCTGAATCACTCGGCTAAGGGTCACAATACCAAATGTCTATGGTACAAGGCTTCAGCTGCTTCTATACAATCATGCGGAAATGCAAGCCGCAGCCACGTAATTTGGATCAACTAAGATAATTGACTATTAGCAAGATTCGAGCAGGAAAATTAATAAAAGAATCCAGTTTACCTCCATTGTTTTGTACAGTTTTCGAGCCTTGTCACGATTGTCACCAGGATACATACGCTCTCGAAATTCTGTCTCAACTATGCCGGGTGAGATTTGCTGGAAATGAAAAATCCAAAACAGTTAAAAAATACTTTTTTTCAAGTAAATAAAAGATACCTTTTTTGTGACTTGAGTTAAGAGCAATCTTTTATTTACTTGATATAATAATGGACTGGAAACAAACTTTCATGCTAGAATTTTTATCTAGTCCCATAAAGTAATTCTTTCATAGTCTAGTCACAATCTGACATCATACCGCGATTCGGATGTGATTCTTCTTTTCCCTCAGTTCTCGTCTGATGGCTTCTACCAATGCGGTCACAGCATGCTTGGTGACGGCATAAAAGTAAGTATCTTTAGTTGTCAGTCGGTGACCAGACAAGCTGGAAAAAGAGAAAAAATGCTGTTAGTAGGACAGATACCAGATTCCAACCTTCAAACTCCCCAAAATCGTTTTTTTTTTTTTAATAGAGAGAAAAGGTTACCATTTTTGTATGGAACTGACTGCAACAAGAAGGACAAGCCTTGTCCTTCAGTGCACTTAATTCCATTCAATTGACCTATCATGGTAGAATCGCGTTAGAATCACGACAACGCAGCTTGTGAAATATTGTCCAATTACATTATACACAAATGGATGCGGAATGCGCAAAATCTGAGACAAACAGAACTTAGTGCACACAAATTCCATATTGTTGTCTAAGGGGCGTGGCTAACTCGCAAACGGCGATAGGTCAATTTAGAATGCCCATTCACTGGAAGTATTTAAATGCATCTGTCTAATCACTGGGCAGGATTACGCTCATTTATTGGTAACAGGGTATTCCTATAAGATAGCACTGCCTGGCCCTCTTCACAAGTGACAGTCAGTCGGTCAGTCAAATAGGTGCAAAAAGGACGCTAGGCTGGCCCTCTGGGACCAGCAAATCTTTGAGAATTAGTATCAAGGCGCTACCTGTTGGTCACCAACAGCTGACCGTCTGTCGCTCCTTTTTCCTCCATTTGTTTGACGGCCTCCCGACAGCATATGGCCACCGCCAAGACATTCACCTGTCGATAAAATAATATGACTGTCAAAAACAAAACTACATAAATAATGATGTGGTGCTTATATACATGCAGCACTTTATACCTAATGTTTCAAAGCGATTTACAATTATTATCCCCGTTTATCAGGAGTGAGATTACTTTTATGCAGCAGGTCGAGATCAGCACAACTTGGTCTCTACCTTCCCAGGTACCCATTTATACTCCTGGGTGGAGAAAGGCAATCGTAGTAAAGTGCCTTGCCCAAGTACACAAGCACCATGTTCCCTGTCAGGGTTCGAACCCACATACCACGGCACGTGAGTCGAACACTGTAACCATTGGACCTCAGCACCCCACATCAACCGTAACCCTGCCAGATGCAACACAGAACATCAAGTGTAAAAGTCTGTGGGACCTTGCTGCATTGAGCCATCAACACCAGTGGATGTTGAAACAGCCAATTCTGAGACAATGAGAGCTAGTCCCATTGAACAATGCCACAGTTGTATCCTGCTGCAGTTGGTGCCACAAACTCTTAGCCTTGAGATTTTTGACATGATGGATCTTATTAGATTAGCCAGGTTTCTTGATTCAACAACTGTTGCAAGTTGTTGCACTGGGCAGGGTTACTAGACACAATACCCTGGGAGGTTGAGGATAATGACAAAGATATATTGGATGACAATTCAGTGATCTTACTTCAAACATGTCTCTCAATTTCGCTGTCTCTCCGTTCAGTATTCCCATAGGTGAAGTCATGGAGTCGGCATGATTTATCCCAGCGTTGCTGACACAGACGTCAACGCCTCCAAACTTCTCTTTGATCTCAGCAAACATTGCCAGGATTTCCTCTTCTTTTGTCAGGTCGCATTTGATGGCATGCAGGGAACCAGTGACGGAAGTGTCCCCAGATAAAACCTTAGCATCTTCCTGCAAAGTTACAAAATATGGCATTCTTTGCAGGTAACTTCACAGATGTGGTTCGAGACTGGAATCTTGCAGCCGGTTCATAACTCGGCGTGAAAAATTTCACCCATGTTTCATTATGGAATTTTCACTTTACAAATTTCAATTATTTCATGGCCCACCATTAATTTGGCAGACTGGTCTCTGCCTCCCTATCAGTGTCGAAGATTGGAACCCAGGCTGTTTTAAAGATGAATCTGTGTCTGCGTAAGAGTAACTCAAATATTGTAATCCCAAATAAAACTCTTTTTTTATCAATCCAATACCTGTTTATAGAAAAAGTGAGTTTGTTATGTGTTAAAATAAAAAAGGAAAAAGTACCAATTAATATCAGAAGAACAACTTGAGGGAAAACAGTTAATAATAAATAAATAATATTGAAGAATTTTCTTCAACTTTTTTTCTCACCAGATGTAATAAGTCTTTTATTTTTACCTCGATTGTTTTGATGTTCCTGGCACAGCCAATGACTTTCATTCCGTGTCTGACAAGCGCCCTCGCTGTTGATTGGCCAATCCCAGCAGATGCACCTGTTACCAAGGCGACACGCCCAGCCCATCTCTGCATACCACCACCAATACTGGCCATTGTTTCTGCAGTTATACTAGGGAAAGTAGTTTAACGTGAATGGGTATAATGACCTGCTTGCTGCTTTTTGTTTGTCTGTTCCCCCCCCCCCCCCCCAAAAAAAAAACTATAAAAGAGGTTTCCCTCTGCATTTAGTGAAGTGTATAATTCCCCAATTGTTTTCGCTGTTGGACCGGCACTGCACTGAAGATGCCCAGCGCAGGCATATCCAGAGGGGGGGGGGGGGGGGGGGGGGGGGGGGGGGGGGGGTGGAGAGAGATCTGCCCCCACCCCCCCCCCCCGGCAGATGATTGTTAGAGAGAGTTCTGATGATATTTAATAAACCCATTACCCCAATAGAAACCAGCTCAAAAACCATTTCAAGAACATGAAGAATGAGCTGCAAATCTTCGATTCCAGTAGTGCCAGTATGCACAATCCATTTTAAAGAACGCCCCAAATTAGATCAGCCCTCCCAGCAAATCTTATTCCTGCCCAAGTTCTGCTGATAAACGCGCACCGCCCCCCGCCCCCCCCCCCCCCCCCCCCCCCCCCCCCCCCCCCCCCCCCCCCCCCCCTCACCTACTCCTTACCCCTCCCCCAGGCCCACCTGAGCTGGCCCCCACAGAGAAGATTCCTATTCCTAACTCTCCTGTTACGAACATTTAAGCCCAGTATTTCATACATATTACCTTGATGTCAAATACCTAGGCGCTGGTTCAAAGGACCTGAAATATCGAACGAATAATCGGTGCAAATTTAATTTACGAGGATTTCTCACCGAGTTCGCCCATCATCACGCCGTCTGTTGTATAATAATTCATGAATTGGTTGTCGAATGAGGGCGCTTTAACTCTCTATCTGCAGCCGCGCTAGCGCTAGCGCGCGCTATGGACCGATCCAGTAAGCACCGCCCCATGATATTCTGACCAATCACAGCCGTGATTTATGTCCGACATGCGCGTGCACAAAAGTCCGACATGCGTGCACACGCGTATGATGCGCGCGGCAGGAAATGTAGTGTGACATTGGAGAGGAGCACGTGTTAATTTGCCCACGTGCCCAGTGGGAGGGGCTTACTGGATCGGTCCATTATGCGTTCTCAAGGTGTGAAAAACCTCACACATCACGTACAGCAGTCAACACCCCCCCCCGGCCCCCCATTCAAAAAAGAGAACTCGTTATTAGCGTTTTTAAATACAAATGTTGAATTTGGACATTTGTATTTTGCATTGTGAGCATGCTGGACTCACCCAAGGGCGAATCCAGAACACAATTTGGGGGGGGGGGGCAACTTTTTTTTGGCCCCCCAAAAAAAGTGGGCCGAAAAAAATCTCGGCGTGAGGTTCAGGGCCCGCTTAAGGGCCCCCAATTTGTTTGGATTTTAGATGCTCTGTGGTGCAATCTGAGGCAATTTCTGACCACTTTAACCAATGTTTTTAAAGAAAAGATGGTGATGTACTCATTGCCTGCCTTTATTGCGACGTCATAATTTTTTTTTTTAATGGTTTCGTTTGTGGGGGAGGGGGGGGGGGTCATGGCCCCCTTTGGCCCCCCTGGATCCGCCCTTGGACTCACCTTGCGCCCCCCCCCCCCGAAAGGCAAAAAAAAAGGGGGGGGGGAGGGAAGCAATGTCCCCCATGTCCCTCTTTCCTGAAGTCTGCTTCTGTTGTCCCTTCAACCATGGAGGAAGGAATTCCTTCCTCCATGCTTCAACCCTCCCTCCTCCCCTTTATTTTTTTCAGTGGTCGTTCAATCCCCGGTCGCTTTACGGCCTGCTAATTACTAGTAATTTGGAGGGACAAAAAACATAACCAAAACGCACTCAATTTTAGGCGCGGAAGGTTTCTGTGATAGCTAGCATAAATTGCAATTAACCAGTCCGCGCCAAAATACATCTGAAACCATAGCGTTGATGATTATGCAAATCACTTCGCGGAAGTTTCTTTGAGTGATAGAGCGAGGGCATTTTTCAAAATAACTGGTTCGTGCCAAAAATCCCAATGCTTTTAAAGCACTGTAGCGATAATGTAGTGGGTACCAGGGACCATGTGCTTTTTTATCACGCATTTATAATTGACGGGCAACGGAGGGCGGAGCACTTTTGAAACTGTCACAATAGTCCAAGTAAGTTTACCCTTTTTGGCCTAAAATCTTATTAATTTCGCCTTCAACGTTACGTAGAAGTGAGGCTGAAGTATTTAACATTACAGTTGATATGTTTGAATTTAAATATTTCTAGTTTTTAGTCAAATGTGAAAAAACAAAATCCTAATGAAAAAAAGTTTATTTTCCTGGGGCACACAAACTAATTTCCAAGAAAGAATTTTCATTATTTTTCTTCTTAAAGACCATTTGTGTTTAGTTGTGAATTTTGGGGGTTAAATGCAAGTACGCCTTAGCCGAAAACTTATCGCCATTTCCAAAGTTAACCGCAAATAAGCCAAAAAAAATTGTAGGGCCTATATTAGTAAACAAAAAAATCACTTCGCGTAAGGCTACTAGTTGTGATGGGACACTTTCCAAAATAACTGGTTCACGCCCAAATATATTTGAAATCATAGCGGTGTTGATTGTGGGAATCGGTTTGCGGAGGTTTACTGATTTTCAGTGACTAGGCCTGCAGGGCGTGGCGCTTTCCAAAATAACTGGTTCGCGTCGTTGCCCCATGCCTAAATCATAGCGCCTAGGCACCAGGGAATTGCCAAACGACATTCTCGATTTTTCACATGCGTCATTTACGCACTCATAAATTGGCGGGCATGGAGAATTTTCAAAACTCTCAGAACGGTAAAAGTAAGTTTGGCACTTTTGGACTGAAAACTGAACCCTTTTGCCTCCAAAAATTACACATAAGCCACTGCACTATTGTAGGTATATCTGAGGTTGTGAAAACATTTCGAAATTGTCTTTTTCAAAGCAAAAATCTCGTCCGTGTTCTCGACTATTTTCTTAGCAGTGGCTATTCTTACGGCATTCGTCTGGTTCCCTAACCTATTACGTAAGGATATTTGGCTCTTGGAAACCAGACTATCAACCGAATGGTTCTCCGACATTATTTCCCTTTTAATAATATCTACTTCAATAAAATTTTTGACTAAAAAATTATAGGGAGAAAATGTATTGCAAAAAAATTTTGCAACCTGACGCCACTATTGTCGGGAAAAAAATGTTGCAACCTGAAATTTTTTTTAAGTATTTCCTAACAAAATTGGAAATATTTTCAGTGCTGCTGCCGGATTTATGTCTTATCATTTTTGCAATGAGTGACCTTCATTGAGATGATATTTGATGAAAAAGTGGCATCAGGTTGCAAAAAAAAATTCTTTTTTTTTTAAACAAAATTTGGAAATTTTTTCTCATTCCAAGATTCAAGAATGTTGCAACTTGACGCTGCTTTTTCTTCATATATCATCTCATTGAAGGTCAGTCATTGCAAAAATGATGGTAAGATATGAATCTGGGACCAAAAAAAACCCATTTCCAATTTTGTTAGGAACTACTTAAAAAAAATCTTGTCTCTCCATAGACTTTGTACACAAGTAGCTTCAGGTTGGAAAACAATGTTGCAACCTGACACCACTTCTTCGATTTGTACAAAGTGTGGGGAGTCAAGAAAATTGTATAAGGATTTCCTAACAAAATTTGAAATGCTTCTTAGTCCCAGATTCATGTCTTGTCAGTATTTTTGCAATGAATGACTTTCGTTGAGATATAATGAAGAAAAGAGTAGCGTCAGGTTGCAACACTTTTTCCAAACATTTTTGCAGTTACTGACACTTAATAATTACTGAGATGATTGTCCTATGTGAAGAAAAAATGGACCTTCAGCGGTTGCAATATTCTTTTCAAAAGTATAGGGCAGTACAAATATTGTGATAGATCCTGGAATATTTTTTTTTTTGGGGGGGGGGGCAATGCGTGACGAAAGCAAATGAAAATGGCATTACGGCTGTCATAATAAGCCACTAATTATATGAGTAGCATTAAGCCGAGGAAATTATTTCTGTGGGCATGGTGGGGTGGGGGGGTCTTGCAAGTGTGTAAGAAGGACACTCTATCAATTATAAGTGAATTTAACTTGAAAAAAAGTCCTACACACTAACTTTTAAGAAAGAATGTTCAATTTTAGACTGAAAATTATAGGTAAAATTTGTTGTTATGTAGGCCTAACCCCAGGACATGATAGTATCTAGACAGCTGACATTGGTACCATGTTGGAATATAAGCAGGGTGAATTTTGTGGAAAGAACTAGGGCATGGATTTGACAAAATGATGGGGGTAAAACACTAGTAAGAATGTTACATTTACTCCCCAAGTCCTGTTCAAAATGATAAGAGCACAGTGTCAATCTAAATTTGAAAAAAATGACCGCTTTAAATTAATTGAGTCTACAAATGTAATTTTGAGTGAAAAAGACCTTGTATATTATTGAGCAAACCCCCAAAATTACAGGAGTCCTTTTTGGAAATGCCATGTACAATGTACTGGGTGTGCATATGGGTATGGATGTCAAATCAACTAAGCAATTATATGCACAAAACTGCAATGTATATGGGACAGTGAACCAGATCATTACTCATTACTTTTACTAGTGTTCAGATATTTTACACATTGTTGCATATGTAATTTGAAATACATTTATTTTAATAAGGCCAAAAAAAAATTAAAGTTCTGCTTCCGGTTTTTTTTGTTTTTGTTTTGCCTTGCAGCTTCAAGTTGAAGAGTTCAGGGTGTAATTCATATCCAAACTCATTTTTCAGAACTTGAAAACTGATTAGGCCAAAAAAAATATAGTTCTGCTGCCGTTGACAGGGCATTTGAAAATAGCGTAGGTACTAGGGAAATTTGTTTTGCCAATTTTTTTGTGTATGATCATATGGAGGCATCTGCCTGTAGTCAAGGGTAAAAGGCATAAAGTGATGGTTTGGGTGTTTTTTTCTCATTTTTCCAATTAAAAAAAAATAGGGTAGGGGCTGTCAGAATAGCGTAGGTAGGGAAACCAGAAGCAGAACTATTATTTTTGGGGGGCATAGTACATGTATTGTTCAATCATAGTAAAGATTTCAAATTAAGCTTATTCAACACCACCAATCACATGGCCCTTGAAAGACTTGTACCTTGAGAGAAAAAGAACCTTTTTGTGGTTTAGGTCTATAAAAAATTATATTCTTCTATTATGCGCATAAATTGCAGTTGGTTTGCCACCCAGACCCAGAGTGCATTGTGGGTACATTGCCTACATGAAGAAAAATTCAAATTTCCAATTGCCATTTCAATTGTTTTATTATACTCAACCAAAAAAGGAAAGTCCCCTTAATTAATACTGTTTTGTCTAACTCAAAAACTACTGGGCACATCTTGCTCAAATTACAACTGATCAGTAAAATTCCTTAGCAATCTAGCCATACTCTTTGTTTAGCCCAACACAGTGATAATGTGTACAAAATTATGCAATTTATGGCAAATGGTACTGAGAAAAAAGTTGCACTTTAAATGTGCAAGGTGAGTGTGGACCACAACTTGCACGTATTCAAAAGTGCAACTGTTTTCTGTATCATTTGTCATAAATTGCATTAATTCGTACACATTAATTATCACTGTTTTTGGCCAAATAAAGAGTATGGCTGGATTTCTAAGGTAATTTTGTACTGATTTGTTGTTATTTGAGAGAGAGGTACTCAATAGTGTTTGAGTTGCCCAAAAAAGTATTGGAAGGGGGACTTTCTTTTTTGGTTGAGTGTATTAAGATGTTTACTTCATGCTCCCAAATGTCTGTCATTTAAAACTTATGAGTTGCTCTCTTCTGTTATTTTACAGACGGTTATCATGACAGCTAGATTCCAAGCCAGCAAACCACATCAAGCCAAACTTCAAACTGCTGAAGGAATGCCAGAACTTGCCATCAAAGTCATTGCCACTCTTGGCTTGTCATGTTTTATACTGTGCCCGTCGAACAATAACATGCTCCAGATCTGAGTACCTGGAAACTCTAGGGCCAACTTCCTAGGAGCCAGCATTGAAATAATTTAGTTGAACTTAAACCTTAATGTGAGTTATTTAATTTAAAATGAATAATTAGCAAAATGGAATAAATATTCAGTATGTTCAGTCATGAATAAATATAAATGCCTTGAACTAAGTCTTCAAATTGATTTAAAATAATCCAGAGTAAACCTTACAACCAACCCAAAGTCAGTGCTAATGCAAGTAAAGTTAAAATTCAAATACTATTTTATAGCAACTTACTTGACAATAAAAGGCAAAAGTATATTAAGTTTATATCTCAATAAGATAGATACCTTGAACTAAATCTTCAACTTAATTTAACAGAAATGAGCAAACGTTTAACAGCACAGTGAATGTTGACAAACCTAAGGTCAAACCTTATTAATGTAAAATTAAACTTTACATTTTAAGTCGCTTAGGAGGGTAAATCCAGTTTTGAATACAAATACAATGTATATAGCATCCAAGTATGCCAAAGTCATTTTGTTTATAAACTGCACGGAAGTGTAGACCCTTGCAGCATTTTCTGAGGTCCTTCCCCTGCATGCACCATTAACAGTTAACCACAGCACTATCCTTCCCTATTTTAACCACTAACCAGCACAGACCCATCAAAATGCTGCAAAGGCAAGAAAATATTTACACAAATTCATTTGTGTGGTTTTTCAAAGCTGGATTGCCACAAAATATTTTTCTTAGTGTTATATAAACAATAATTATGGAATAGCAAAAACAATAAGTTAGCATTACATTTGACTTAACTGTGAACATAAAATGAATTTTTTAAAGTTTTCAACTAAAAAAAAGTACTATTTAATCTCTCCACCTATAAATTCTGATGAAAGGGAAATTATTTTGAAATCTGCGTGGACAAGCAAAACTGAAATTAAATTAAACTTGGATGGAAATGATAAAATTATAAAGTAATCAGCTGACAGAGGACACCTAAATATAAATGTTATATTTAAGCCACAAGAGAAAGCCTTTTAAAGAGGTGAAAACCTTTAAACAATGAACAATAATCACAGCATATATTTAAGTTAAAATATAGTCTTAACTAGTTTGAATGAAGTTGGCCTGGACAAACTAGGGACAATGGTCAGTATGGAGCAGGAAATTTAAAAGTATTTGAGTGCCTTCATAGAGAAACCCTGAACATCGCCTCCAAGTCACCCCCGGACAGACGGTGACAACTGGAAAGACAAACTGTGAACTCATGAAGATGACATTTTCAGGACAGGTGAACTTTAAAAGATTTCATCCAGAGGACTTTGTGATGAACAGATATGTAAGCCACAGTGTGCGGAAGGAGGCAAATAGTCAACCAACAATGTGCAAGACAAACTATGAAATCAGGAGGATGACATTGTCAGGGCGCCGGGAACTATACAAGATTCCATCCCGAGGACAGTGTGAGGAACAGATATGTAAGCCACAGTGTGCAAAAGGAGGCAAATCATCCAGTGAGGGATTCACTACTGAAACAAAGGACAAGGAATTTGTTATAGAAATGCCTGATTTGGACGAAAGATCAACAGAAAAGACAATTAATGCTGCAGCAACTTTCAGAAGAAGGATGGATCTGACTTTAACAACTGATTTTTAAGTGTCGCCTTTCTCCAGTGCTGACTTGGGGAATAGCCTACTAGCTGCTGCATAACTCTATATCTTAATCTTGGAAGCACAATTGAAGGACACCCCTACCTTGGACTCTATGCCATTTTGGAAGCTACACTTGGAGGATGCGCTTCTTTAGAAGGACCGACTTGAACTTTGGGAAACTTTGACTATGTTGCACGAGTGGAAATCAACTTTTGACAAGGTGCAACTATGAAATTATGAGGATGACATTGTCAGGTTCATTCGGAGCACAACGAGGCTTTCTGAAGTTAGGAGACGTGGAGTTCACCATCTTTACTACCAGTGGAGGATGTCTCATTCTGAAAAATCAGAGGTAACTTTTTTGATTACATTCTTAAAAAATTTCAGGGATTCATTTGATGCCATTTTTTCCCCAAAGAGTTTTGTGAGCTCACATAAAAAAAGAGGAAGAATAAGGTTTTTATTTGACATGTGACCATTCTGCCAATGCCCATTCACATTGGATGGAAAAAGAGTACCAAGATTTCCATTTGCAATTAGAATTTTGATTTCCAATGGTTCTTAAAAAAGTGGCCTTTATACCCCTAAATGAGACAAACTTATTACATTATTTTACAATTTGAAACAAAAAAAATGACTGGAGTGGGGTTTGGACCAGGGGTATAAAAACTCAGCTTTTTTGTTTTGGATTTCAACTTTTTCTCTCACTTGCTTTAAACAAAAGTACAGGAGATTTCCAAAGTTCAGCTTTTTTTTACACCTTTATCAGCTGTTTTCAGCTATTTTTATCTGTGGTCACTCACACCCTGTAGGAACTTAAAATGGTCAGAAAAAGTGGTATCAAGTAGTTCCGCACTTTTTGAGGCATCCATATTTAAGTATTCGGCAATCATCTGGATAGTCATATGACACTATCATTGTCCAATCAGAAGCCAGTATTTGGCCTCATTAGCATAATTTATGAGCAAAGTTTGAAGAACCATCTGGTCTCACCATATTCACATAGGAGGGGTGTTGACTCCGTGAGTGAAGTCAAGAGCGTAGCAATAAAGATGTAATTGTAGGAATGAGTTTTCACGTTTATTGAAAAGTATGAATTAATGGTGATTGCCCAACTGTAGAATCAACCTTGGAAAAAAAATGTTATTGACCATGTTGAACATCTTAGAATATGGAGCAATCCTTAATTAGACTTGTTGTAAAGGACAGATCCTGGCACTCTATGTAATTATTTTATTTAAGAGTTGGGTCAGTCATGTTTAAATACCCCCCCCAAAAAAAATGGCATTAATGAAAACAAAGGTACTATTGAAAAAAAAAAAAAATTGAACCACCCACCGATGCTAAATGCCACTGTTCTTGTTGGTGAATTTGGTTATGCCAATGAAACTAAGTAATTTAGACACCCAAGTGTAGGTGTGTACTTCATAAACCCAAATAGCTACTAAATAGGCCTATGCAGGTCATTAATTCTTCGTTAAGTGTCTACATTTGCGTCCCTTACAGTCGGGTATAGCCATGGGGGTTGGGAGGCATGCCCCCCCCCCCCCCATTTTCCGTGCCACCCCCCCCTCCCCCGATACCCCCCCCCCCCCCCCCCCCCCCCACCAAAATACTGATAATGCCCAACTGGGAAAAACTACAATAGGACGTTTGTGATATGTGCCTCCCAGGATATTCTGATCCCCCCACCCCCCCACTAAAAAAAATCCTAGCAACGCCATTGGTCCCTTGACGCTGTAAAGACACAAATGCACAACTTCAGCATATGATTTTTTTTGTGGATTTATGTTTAACATAAATCTGATAATAAATGATCTTTAAAAGCTAGAAAACAGTTTATATTTTTCTTTATTTTCTGATGTTTGATGTCAACCCAAGGAAAACCCATGTCCCGATCGTAGTATGATAATTTTCTGATTGTTTTGTTTGGTGGGAGGACTTTTCTTAATGAAAATACTCTTAAACAATAGGTATTTACTACTTAAATGTATTCAATCCTTCAAACAATGCCGTTATAGATCAATTAAATCCTAAATTTTATAGTTTTTGTCGGAAAAGTTTGTCCCGAGGAGTTAAGTCGGATATATCGTCACATTCCTATGCAGCACCCACAATTGTTAATAAAAACCGAATAGAAACGCTGCTTCGGTCTTTGTACATGAATGAGATGTGACAGTGCATTGTGTTCAAATTTTCTCCAGGTATGATGACTAAAAACCCATTAAAACCAGGATTTTAGCTCAATTAGATGTGCGCACCTTTATTCGGTGTCATCTCTGAAAACATGCACTATTAATGTTTTTATTATCAAAAGTATTCAAGAATACGATCAGAATTGTGTATAAACTTCCCAAGCACATGTGGTATTCAAGCTTCAAAATAACATAAAACTGTAGATGGCACTAAAACAGTTTGATATTTAATTTTGTCAGCTCCGTCACAGTCGGTTTGACAGTGACGGAGATGATTTCTTGACATTTTTTTTAGTCGATAATGGTACTAAAATAAGGATGATAATGGATTGGTTTAATTATGTTAAAACCCCCTATTCACTGGCTATTAATTATTCTATGTCACGTATTTCAAAAAGCTCTCGTTTCAATTTACTCGGCTTCACATGTATTCAAATATTGTCATTTCCATCACAAAAGTTGTGACGGATATGACTTTTTCATTTTTTCATACGCTACAACATTGAAAGTTTAATGTTGATAAAATGTTTAACTTTGACTTCCCCACTTTTAAAAAACTTTTTTCCACAATTTATAAATGCGCAAAGTAGACACTTACTGAAGAATAACCCACACATTTATTCTGCCGACAGGCTCAATCGCTAAAAGATTTAATCAACCAACTAGCACCCTATCGGTGCATTTTTTTAATGACTCCCTAGGACCCAAGCCAGTCGGCTTTGGGCATAACTCGCCTCGAGACAGGTACGCCTCCGGAGTTATTTTGATTATCTTTGTTTTCCGTAAAGGCCTTGGGGAGAAAGTGGGTCGTATTCCGAAGAGAAGTGCAGTTTAATTTCTCAACAAGATCTGCTAGTTGCCCCACACGTGGGGCCCCTGTCCGGAAGTCAGACTTTCGGCCATTCAGGGGACTATACAGGAGGAATACAGCAGTCTCTGACCTTTCCCTGTTCTCTGTTTGTCCTCTAAGCTTGCGGTGAGCTAGGGCCTAGCGAGACGTATATCCATAGAGGTCATTCCCTTCCCACCTGACCGTTTCAGCTAGCTCAGGGAGCTGAGTAAGCTAGAAGAGGACGTTGGGTATATCAACAGAAGTCGTTCCCTGCCCTTCGGTCGTCCTAGACTATCTCGGTAGCAAGCGGCTATAATGAGATAGCGGCAAGACCTTCGTGGGTAGACCGCGACCACTGGCCATTCCCTTCTCTTCGCTGTCTTGCCTAGCTCTGAGAGCTAGTTAGTGTAAAGAGAAGCTTCGTAGGGTTTATTGACCAGTGGTCGTTTCCTTTGGCCGTTCTTAACTTTCTCGGTGGTGCGATAATAGTACAAGAAGAGATGGTAGTGAGTCCCATGCAGAGCCATCACCGTAGTCTGTTAGGGTCACCCGTGTTCCACGGTGTGACCATCATCAGAGGTACGTCCTACGATATGGAACACTACGATAGCACTGGGAAACTTCCCCGTACAGTACAACCTCGGTTCATCAGGTGACCAGTCATAAGGGTCCCATGGTAAAAAGGGCGCATCAAAGACCTCCAGCGGTCCAAAGGGTAAAAACCCAAAAAGGGACTGCTTGTCGCTTGATCACGTCAACGGTTTTTGGACCATCAGCGTCACCTAGCCGCCTGGTGTCGATCTTCTGTGGTTTCAACAGAGTTTCCTCGACTCGTCCCCGACCTGCTGGCCCCAGCAACTCCTGGGGATGACCAGTCACTGGATGGACGTCAAGATTCATCTGCGGCCCCGTCTCCACATTCATCACGCTCTGAGCTTCCTGCTACCACTCATGCAGGACGGCGGGATTCGCAGTGACTGACCCGCCTCCGGTCCTCCCCCAATTCGGGCCACGGATTCACAGTAAAGTCACCCGAGTAGGCCCTATCTTATCTAGGTTTTACACAGGCAATTAAGAGAATCAAGTCACCCAATAAGAAAAGGAAACACAAGAAAGCGCCGTCTTCTTCAGGGGATTCCCCAGTAATTCAACACATTGGCTTAAGAATTCAAATTGTATTCACAGAAATCTTTATAAGGCTTTCCAAGACATCACTCTTTCGCTGGCAGCCCTAACTAAACAACAACAGTGGAGATCGGCACCAGTGAACGCTTGGACATTTCTGGAACCAGATCCAGGTTTAATCCTGCCAGATCTGCACAGGATAAGAGGGAACACGCTGGGTACCCCGGATCCTATAATCAGCTCCTATAATCCACCCACTCCGGGCGCCCCTGAGATCTCCTGCGGAAATTTCTTTACACCGTTCTATGAATTTCCACACTTCTGTTCAAGATGTTTGTGACACAGATGTCAACAGTGCTCCCCCCCCCCCCTTCCACTAACTCTCATGATGTAGAGGTCACAGACCCGTCAGGATTTGGCCCGCCGTTGGGAGAATTGAAGCAGCCTCCAAGTTATCATCAACTTCGTAGCTTTTCCGCTGTTCAGGAGTACCGCCTTTGCCAATTTCTGAACCCCCTTCCGGAGAACTATTAAGCCGTCGCCAAGCTAAGAAAGAGAAGTCTCACCATAAAAGACATTGTTAGGCCTAATTGTCAGAATCAGAGTCTTCATCTGACAGATCCCAATAGGTGGCTAAACGTCGTAAAAACTCAGGATCAGTCTTCACGATAGACTTTTTCCAGGCATTCTCGGCCTATGTTTCGGCCATGTCAGTGATTCCCCCCTTTGTACTCAACTCGCACCCAGTCAAACACACAAGCTATGTTACGCCCATTGAACCAGTGCTAAGACCAACCCTTCCCACCCGAGTGGCCATCACACAAGCCACTGGCCTCCCAGTTTACCGGGGGTTGGTGTCGATGACTTTCTGGAAAGTCAGCGGCCCCTCATCGTCGGCCATTCTCGGACAAAAGCCTAGTTAGCCTACCGAGCCCTTCACGAAACGTCCTTGACCATACGTCTTGGGTTCCTGTTCAACGAGAAGAAATCACACTTAACCCGGGTACAGACACCAACGTTCTTGGGGGGGCCATATGCTCAATTTCAAATTTTTGCAACCGCAGTCCTGAATAAATTCACGACCGGTAATAAATACATTCACGACAGGTCGTGAATTGTATTGCAAATGCAATTCATGCATCAACCACGAAGGAGGCACACGGTCAGCCTGACTGTGCCTCCTCGTGTGGGAGTTACTCCATTGGTGCTGGGATTCCAACATAACGCTAAAAGCCACACACATCCCAGGCACGGACAATACTGTAGCAGACGCCTTCTCCAGGGGAAGGATTCGGCCAACGCAATGGATGCTACAGCCTCGAGTCGTCGATTCCTAGCTGGCCTCTTACTTCCTCAGTTATTTGAGCAAAAATTTTTAAGATTTAGGGGTGTTTTTTTTTCGTTGGTTTAAAATACAGGGTGGGTCAAAAAAAGCAAAACCCAAACCCCCCAAATATATTTTATATTTAAAAAATATGTAGCACCAAACATAATAATGACTTGAAAGCCACTTTCATAAGCTATACTTTTAGATGAAAAAAATGACTGAAATTGCTCAATCCATTCAAAGAATATCACCATTTAAACGGAATGACCCTCAAATCTGTTTCGTCAAAAAAAAAAGCAGTTTATTGTGTATTCTGATTGTTAGGAACAACAAAGAAAAACTGTAGGGTACAATATCTTTATTAACAACCCTGGTTAGACGAATAATATGATTTTTAAAATCCACTTTTTTAAAAGACATGCCTTCAAAAGGACTTTTTTGAATATTGTTAACTTTTAAATTGAGGTTTTATCGCCATGGTGATGTTTGAACGATTCTTGAAATCACATTTTTGGACGAAAGAGGTGTAAGGGTCATTCCTTTTAAATGGTGATATTATTTGAAGGGATTGAGCAATTTCAGTAATTTTTTTAAATTGGCTTTCCAGTGATTATTAACTTTGGTGCATATTTTAAAAAAAGGAAACATTTTGGGGGGTTTGGGTACTTCTTTTTTTTTTTACTCACCCTGTATTGTTACTTGACTTTTAAACCTTTTGTTGTGAACATGGACATTGAATTCAAGTTTAAAACTAAAAGAGAGAAGCAATCTCATGTCTACAAAAATTAAATCATGTGGTCCTCCATGTTTTAATTCAGTCCAGTTTCAATTTTAAGAATTAGGGGCTAGGATGTGCACATGTATTTGTAAATAATTCATCGGCTGATTGGCGCGCAGCAAGACAAATCGTATAAAATAATTATTGTAGTTCAAATACATGCGACTGGTATCTTGCAGAAAATTCCCACATGGTAGTGGTACAACACATTTTGAAGGTGGATTCGTCATTTTGTTATGTAAAAAAAAGACTTTCAGAATTGGTCATGGACGCCGGCCCGCGCGCTGCCACTGGCGAACTACGATCAAATTTCCCTGGCTAGAAAGCAACACATTGTGTTACGTCTAGCCAGAACATCTACTCTCTAGTGCTAAAACTTGCTTTATGGCAATTCTGCTGATTGATGAAGTTGTCCCTTTTAAGTACCAAATTTATCAGATTTGAATTTTCAGCAATGCGATTAAAATCAAAACCTTAAGCTTTCGCATCGCAACTTTCTTCATAAAAAAATCAGCAAGTTGCCGTCGTTTTATAGAGGGATCAATTTATACCTTCAGGGATGTTTCAATGTCTTTTTCCAGGGTTTTAATTGTTTCACGAGAATGTCTTTACAAAAATTATATGATGACGTGTAAGGAGGTCGCCCTTTTCCTCCCCCCCCCCCCCTTTCTCAATTTGATGAGGGGCACGTGCCCCCGTGGGTGCCCCCCCCCCCCCCACTGGACCCAAGCCTGGTGGTCTCAAGCCTCGTCAGGCCAGTAGATAGACACACGGCAGTGCACACTGACTTTGCTTCTAGCAGATCCAATGCTGCATTTGTAGTTAGCCAGCACTTCATCGTGCATCTAAGATTACTTGGTGCAGTTTGAGCGGATGAGCAAATTCATCTCCTGGAATGAAGAAAACAGTGAGAGGCCTACATGTACCTGTTAGTGGCGTTGAAGAGTCAGATGCTGGAGGTTGCCTGCTCCTTGACAAAGGACTAACATTGTCCTACAGTGAACTGGTCAAAGCCATCACGCCAAACTGATAGAGGCAAGCTGGGGAGACGGTTTCTGATCTGGGTCTATAAGAAAGCTGGTTCCCTGTGCTTACCTCGATAGTGGATCCATGTTCCATTAGGTCTCAATCAATAGTTCAAAAATACACTGGACGTACAACTTCAGTGGGCACTTTTCCTGAGAAAGCCCTGACGCTTGATGAAGCAGTGGAAATTGCAGTGGGAGGCAGAAGCGTGGTTCAAGACAGAGCAAGTGGGGCCGTCACGTCCAGTCTTGCCTCACCCCAAAAAGGAGGAAACTCTTAGTTCCATGGCCACTGACCAGATTCTGTCGATGCAGCAGGAACTCTTGCAGTTGCAGCACTGCAGTCTGATGGAGAAGAGAAAACTGGAAGTTTGGAAGTCTGGATCATCTCCAAGCATTGTGGCCACTGCAAAACGGCAGGCAGCCTGCGGCAAGCAGTCCTACTGCCGCCTGGCCGGAATACTTCTCAATAGTTGGGACTTAAGCGCTCACGGATTTACCGTGAACATCTCTTTACATTTGTAACAATACGGGGCTGTATTGTGCGATAATGCTGCTCATTAATGAGTGTTTGTTTATCAAAGCGTTTAATACAGAATAAAACTTTATTTTCAGCAATCACAAATGACCAATCAGTCTTGCATGTCTGTACACGTAAAGCCTGGCCTGTGATTGCACAATAGACCGCCAGGATGAGTCGTTCACAACGATTTGTACGGGTTGCTCCATTCTAAAAGATGTTCATAACAGTAGGTTCTTTAGTTGGAAAATCGTAGTTATTTTGTATTTCAATCAATGAGAAACTCTTTACGATGAGGTAGAATTATCTCTGTTGGTACCTATACCTAAAATTCATTTACCAGGTTAGCACGCTTTCTTTACCAATGGTGTTGGATCAGTTGACTCTTTGCACTTTGCTCACGAGGCTTCTGATGGGTCAGTGATTATGTCATATATTATGATGCCCATTTGAACATATTCGTATGGAATTTGCACAATAAAATATTATTATATTGACTATCCAGATGATGGAAGGCAGAATTGATGTGTTTTGCTCAGCACTTCAACATGATTTTTCTTCTTTCATTAATTTGAAATATTTTTGCTCTGTTTAGGTCTGCAGGTACTCCTAAGATGTTATCTGGCTGTGAACATGACCAAGACGCCTGGATTGCAGAAGGCTTCACCAGAGGGTGCCCGATGGACCTAACATCTTAAATAGAGGCCGGGGGACAAGATTGCATGTTCATAAGGTGAGGTAACCATTGTATGCAGGCTTGAACATGTACAAGACCCCCGGATGTTGCCGTACAGTTTGCAAGTGGAGTCGCTTGGATTGTGTGGTAGATTAGAACGAGGGGGACAAGGTTGCATGTAAACCCAGGTGAGGTAACCATTTCTCTGCAGCTCTTCTAGGCCACATGCCTCAAGACTTGTCCCCCTGGATGAAGAGGAGTCATTTGATGGGTTGTTCAGAGTGAGTCAGACCAAGTTTGCCCATTTCTTTTTTTTCCATTTGCAAGCAAATTTGAATTTTTTCTGACTGGTTGATGCTGTGGCAACTGCATCTCATGTGAACCAAGTATGTTTTGGCTTTAATTTGGCTTCTTAAAATATAACTGCCATCGATAAAATGGAAATATTTTGGGGTTCAAATTTGCTTGTAGATAAAATAAACCTGAACCATCCTGGGAAAATGTAAGTAAAAGCAAAGTTAGTGAGTATCTTTCGAATTAGTTCGTTTGCTAAAGTGGAGGGAAATTGGATAAAAAAATTGCCAACTTAATGGAATTAACTGGCATTTAAAAAGGTATTTCTGTAATCTCAAATTGTTTGTCTTTATGGCCTACTTTTTTGCCCTCCAAAAAAGACGAAACAAAAAATCCTCAATTTTTGTTTACATTTTTTATTCTATTTCCCCAGGGTGGTTCAGATATGTGTTTGTGATGGGTAAGGTGGTGGTGGGGGGGGGGGGGGGGGGGGGAGAGGGGGGAGGGGGGGGGGAGTGTTTTTGATCATGGATTATATCTGCTCCAGGGGGAGCAAATACACAAACACCATTTTACTCCTTGGCGGAGAACAGCAAAAGCTGTTAATGGTCATCACAATCATTTCATAAAAGTGGTAATTATAACTCAAAATCAAATTTCTACTACATATGCCCATGGAACATTAAGTTAGGATATAAGGAACTGGGTGTTTGATCCATCACTGCTGCAAGGCCCCACTAATTAAATCTGCTTGAACTAGTGCATTGCCTTTAGGGCATAAACACATCCATTACTTACCATTGGGGCCATTTTTATTTTTTTCTATGGGCTAAGGGGTCCGAACCTGTCACGTGCAATGGGTCCAATGATACTGAAAGCGTGGTGGTGCGATTGAAAGGGTGTACCATCGGCGCGGTACAAACCTGAGCAACGGCCTGGAAACAGGATGCTTGTCTTAAAGGTGCGGGTAGTCGTGTCCCTTTTTAGGGGTGTGGCCCTGTTATCATATTTGGTGAGCAAACGCTGCTACGTCCTCTAATCACCCCCCGATGGGGGACGGGGGTTGAGGGGCGGCATGCATAGAAGTTAGGGCACCCCTTGGGGTGGACCGGACAGTGGCATTGGTACGCCCTTGTCACAGCGATGGGCCCGATGATACGGAAAGCATGTTGGGGCTGGTATCCTGGGACCTTCACGTGGTGGCCCTGTTTTGACTAACCTGACCAGGATATTCATCATGCTGTGGATGGAATGAAGATGGCTTCAGTGTGTTATTAAAGGTGAGCATCAAACAGGCATATTAAATGTTTCAGACTTTTGCCTGGAAAAAAAAGATTTTTGACAAAAATTTAGACCTTCAGTTTTAATTGACAATCATCTCATTCCTGATCAAACCAGTTTCATAAAAATCATCATTTTGTAAGTCAATGTTGAAGTTTTGTTTTAATTGTCCAGGAAGCTTGAGTAAAGTAAACAAAAATCCTTAGTTAAATGGAAAAAGGAGCCCCAAAAATGTTGAGAATGATATTTTACCTTGCAAATATCCAGGTCTGAGCTTTATCTCTATAGTCTCTCTAGAGATATCTGGCACTTAAGTTTCTGTTGTTCTCTTCATTTTTCACTTATAGCCAAAATGTGATATGCGAAACATGTCAGAGACAAGATATCTGCTGCGGTATAAATCGTGGACAAGGACTACCAGCTTTACATGTATAAGGTAAATGATTTTGGATTTATACTTTTAATTGATTGTAATTATTTCCAAGAAAAGTGGGTTTTTTTTTTACTTTATTCTCACATTGCATAGCCTCTTTTATCCCAAAGTGCATTTGGAATTTCTGGTTTTATGGCTATATTCCTCATATTTCAAACCATTGTTACTTTGGAATGATTTTGTAATTTTTTGTTATTTAGTACAGCCAAAGAGTGGCTTTGTCAGAATGCCAGCTAACTGTCATGAATAAAAGCCTGGAACTTGACAAAAGGAATGACTTTATTTACATGTGCACTTGAAGATCCAATGTATGAATAAAGCATGACATTCAATTGTTATTGGTCTCCTTGCTTCAATTTGTTATGACTCAACATTTTCAATTGATCTAATTTTCAGGTTGTACACTACTACCACCCAACACCATCGTCTGGGTGCACTTGCATCCTGGCTCTACCTTAGCCTTCCTGTGACAGCATTCAACCTCTGATTAGCCAGATCAACCTCTAATTACACAAATACTGCGATCCCATCATATCTCCTACCTTGGCTCAAAGGGGTCAGTATATAATTGAAAAACACACTTTTGTTTTACTTATTGTACATCATGTTGCTTTTTGCCAACTAGTTGTAGTCGGCCAACCTTTCAACAACAACTTTTTACACAGGAATGCAAATTTGAGGGAGGTTTGCTTGCACACTAAGGTCACCAGGTGGCTTTTTTGTAGGGGATACCCACTGTCCTGATCTTGAGATTAAATTTTGCAATTATATTCCTGGCCAAAGTAAACTCCTCCCCCCCCCCCAAAAAAAAAGCTTAGAACTGAAGTTGCAGATAGAAAATTAGGAGCACTTGACTATACATGTATTCTGGACAAAACTCTCTGTAGATAAGAAAATGTTATTTTTCTCTGCTGAAACACTTTTCTAATGAAATCTCTTTTTTTGTTTCTGTCTCGGACTGTCTCCTGCAGGTGGACCACACAGCAATTACGACAGTCTTGTCATCATCATTCGAATTTGCACTTATATCAGTCACGTAGTGATGGAGAGACATTCCTGGAGTATAAGTCTGGTCAGCATCAGACACAAACGATGCAACTGATCATTGAGTGATCATTTGATGGGGAGGGGGCACACGTTCAGCCAATTAGCCCCCTTTCTTCCACCTCGACCAAAACTGGATAGATGCAAATTAAACTGAATCATCGAAATGAACCAAACGCCATACGCGATGCATGCCTCGCAATGTGACTTGACAGTTAATTAGAACTGTGTCAAGTTTGCCATACTTCTGAACTGTTGCTGATATTGATGTCTTTCTTCGTCGGGCCAGAAGAAAGGGATGCAATGCTCAAACTGTACATATGTAGACGGCATGTGATCACTGTATGACCCCTTTCTATGGAGAAACCATTGTGCGTGCTTTGAACCTTTTTGATTGAAAACCGTGACGGAACTTTTCATCATCAGAACTTTCATGAGTGGTGGTGGGAAATAATGAGACTGCTGAGTTTTCAAAATGTTTGATATTTGAATTGTGTTTTATTCTTAAAGATATATTTAAAAGTCAGTTGGTTAACATGTTTGTATTTTTTGCTGTAAGGGCATCCTTTTATACCCAATGGTTCTCATTATTACCAACCAATGCCATTAACCCCAAAAGATGTGAGGGTGTTGCATTTTCGGTCTATCGTTTACCTTTACTGTTTGTCATGCCTACTACGACAACCAAAATGAAAGTGAGCTGCATCTTGCAAAAATGAAGTCAAGTACATTGCCAATAATGGCTTTGTTGTTTTGTTATTATAGGCGAGCTTGCAAACATCTTTGCACTATTAAACAAGAGACTATACGCACTTGGCATCATTTACTTTATCCATCTACATCTATACAGGGTGAAATTGTATTTTTATTTTTTTTAGATTTGTATTGTTAATTGCTGGCTGACTGACCTACTTCAGAGGCCAGAAAATGAGAACCATAGAAATAAAAAGGGCACCCTGATATTCTTTTAATATTGTATGATGGAACTTTTTAATGCTAAGAAAAAAAAATCTTTTTAAATTGACATTCGAAAATGCATTTTTCAGTATGGATGAAACTACCAGGCAATTTGTGCAAAAACATACGGGGCTTTACAGAGAGAGAAAGAGAAAGAGGCGCAAAGTCATATTCCTGTCATTTTAATGGGTTGGGGGGGGGGGCAAATGGCCCTGCCCGCCCTTGAAAAATGAAAAATCGAGATTACATGTATGCTGGAAAAGTTCAAGGGTTTCTGGGGGAGGGGGGGGGGAGTGCTTTGCCCCCCTCTAGAAAAAAATCCTGGCAACGCCCAATATCTGAAATTATTTACAAATATTCCTTACATTAAATGTTTTAAAAGGCAAATTTTGGAACAGGTGTTGCTTGTTTGTCATCATTACCCAGGATGCAATGCGAATGTCAAAAAAAGTTTATTGGAAAATATTTTCTTGGGTTCTTAAAGCTGTTTTCAAATAATTTAGTATTCAATGATTCCACCTTGGACTTAATTAAATATTCAAATATTCAACTTCAATTGGAATATGCCTTGGCCTGCACGTGTTGAATAATGACGAAAACATGACTGCGCAACATATTATTAAAATAATATCATGCACGTTTTAATTTTTTTTCATTTGGAGAGTTTCCATTTTGAATTTAAATTTAAAAAAACCCATGATTTTCAGTAATTAGTTTGATCACTGAATATTTGGTTCATATGGCTGACAGCCCTAAGATTTCTTATCAATTCGGTCAATTTTTACCTAGGAGCTGTATTAAACAACTAGAGTGCTGACTCGCTGAACAAAGTGAAGCCTGCTGGGTGCATATATTTGTTGCACAAACCTACACGCATGGAAAACTCGAAATTGAGTACGGCTGTATTACGGCTTTCATGATTTGCATAACTGCGTTTGGTTCGCCCAAAACGGATACACCCAAAACTGAAATGCATTGCAATCAGTGTAAATGAGCATTTAATTTTGGCAGCATACACAACACAATTAATGCATCTGTCGTGCTTGCGAATTGCATTTTCAAAATTCATATTCCATCTGATTTCATCATGTTCAACAAACAAGAAAAATGCCTGCGCTTGGCTTCAAAGTATCTCCGTGGGGGAAAGAGCAATTAGCACTCTAGTAATTTAATATAGATCTATGATGTAACTCACTAAATAAGCAAACTTTTCTTTGAATCCAATTTGAATATTACTCGTCATTATATTTTTAAATGGTCCAAGTTTTTGAAATCATGTGGAATCCCTTTATGTTTTGTCGAAAATCACTATTTTGCACAATATCATCAAAAAAGTCAGGAAAACCCATTTTGAGTAAGGAAAAATGAAATAATCCTAATTGAAGTCAAAACACAAGTAACCGTTTGAAGGTTGGAATCTTTGACAAATAAAATGTTTAAGGTAAAGCCCTGCATTCAATAAAAAAGTCAACTTTGCCCAAATTTTGAATTGCAAAAAATAAATTTGTTTTCAAATTTTTATTAAAAAAACTATAAGGTTAACCCCTCACAATTTGGAAGTTTGACAAAAAATTAAATTTGCATAATTTTTACAAAAATGTAAAATTGCCATTGAGAATATTTGAGAACAAGAGATATGGTTGAAAAACCAGTCAAATTTGAAGTAAAAAAAAACTGATTTGTTTTCTAGTTCAAAGAAAGTGTGAGATAACACTCCAATTTTCCAAATGTTGGTCCAAACTGCAAGAATAACCCTTTCAAAAGTGCATATTTGAGGAAATGAGTAGTTTTCAGATTTTAATCCAAAATATGTGGTTAACCCTTACTATTAATTAATTAAGAAGTCCTGAGAAAAATGTACTGTTGCCAAATTTAATAAAAAGTAAGGTTTATCCTTTCCAATTTCCTTTTTTTTTTGGAAAACCTACAAGTTGTTCAAGTTAAAGCAGTCCTTCTGATTAGAACGCCATCACACGCCTTGAAGCTTCCCAAGAAGTAGGAATAATTGCACACCTGAATTTCCCTGGACCACAGAATGACACACCTAGAAAATAACACACCTAGAAAATAACACACCTAGAAAACCACACGCCTAGAAAAATCCAGGTGTGCCTATTTCCACACACGTGTGATTTTCAAATCAGAAGGACTGTTAAAGTAAGATGTTTTAAACCATTTTCTGTAACGTAGTATTTTATGCTAATAAAAATTTTTTTCTCAATATTTGTAATGCATCTTGTGTATGGATGACATACAAGGCAATTTGTGCACAAATATATGTGGCTGGGTTAACACTTCGATTGATTTCCCTCATGTCAAGAAACAACAGTGATCATCGTTTCACACACTGTTGCTTTGGTAATTTGAAATACAATTATTTTAAAATAAATCATGTAATTTTAATGAAGAAAGTTTTGGGAATCCCTTGTTGGATTCCACTAATATTGCCCCAGCCCTATATTGGCTATTCAGAATCAAGCGCACGCCTTCAATTGCAATCATTCAATTGCAATCATTCCTTTCAGCCTGATGATATGTACTTGAAAAGAAATTCAACATTATTTATTTTATTTATATTTAAAATAGTTGAAACCATTTACAAATAGGTCTATTTCTTACATTCTGTGCATTAATGGCATTTTTTTGCAAATATAGAGGTTTGTGCATAATTGCTTGTTTGTCATCCATACCGTTGTATTCTAAACGGTTTACTGGTTAAGGGCTGTGCATTTGGAGTAATTAAGTATTCAATTCCAACTTGGACTCGATCTTATGCTGGAATATTCAATTTCAACTGGGATATGCCTGAGCATGGGCTGGCTCAAAATTGATGAAGTAGTTTTTGAAATAACAACAGGAGCAGTTAATTGAACGGCGGATATTTGACTAATTTTAAGAGAAAAAGTTGAGTTTATGTTCCTCATGAAAGCTCTCATATCATGCTCCAAAGTGGCTTTCAACAAAAGTGTGGCATTTGACAAACAAAACTACATTCTATTAAATTAACTCTCGGATGTTTTTCTTTATCTCAAGGCCACTCACTTTATTGGAATTGAATAAAAAAATGCTGTTCGGGTATTCTGTTGATAATTGAATATTCAAATATTTGGTAAATTTGACCGACAGCCCTAAGATTTCTCATTGGTACCATTTTTCTATCATTGTAGCCCAAGTTTGGAAAATCATAAACCTTTCAATACTTCAATTTAACTTTGGGACATATTATTAATTTTGCTCAATTATGTATCAAAATGGGCAGTTGTAAGAAACAAATTTATTTTTCTTTATATAAGTCAACAACCTAAGGTAAACTGTTAAGGTTTGAAAGTAAACCACACAGAATTCATGACATCAAACCTAACTTTGCGCAAATCTTAAGGTTAACCCCTGGTTTTGAATTGTGAGATATTCTGGAAAAAGTCTAAATTGCACAAAATGTAGGCCAAGGGTTAATGCCACACATTGAAAGAATTTTAGAGAAATGAATTGCTTCAAAGTTTGTATCCAAAAAAAGGGAGAGCATCGATCAATTTTATGAATCTTAACAGAGAAGAAAATCAATTAATTAATCTACTTGCTAATAAAGTTGGGCCTACACTTTTGAATGTTAGAGAAAAATCCATTTTTGTTCAAGTTCAAAGAAAAATACAAGTCCTAAAACAAACCTTACCCTCTTCATCAAATGTGGAATTATCTTTTTCTTCACTTTTTAATCCAGAATAAATGGTTAGTACTTGCTTTTTAGAAATTGTGACAAAAAAAACCTAATTTTGCCCGTTTTCGATAAAAGAAAGGTTAAAGTTGGTTTATACGTGCTTTTCAAAATTGCGGCTTTCTAAATTTGCGAACGAAATTTTAAGGAATATAAATTATAATGTCCTGTAGCCAATTAATTTGCATTTTTGTTCTTGCAGGCCTTTGGGCCAAAAAAGTAGTTCTGTTTCCGATTACATGGCATTTGTAAATAGGTTGGGTGGGTATGTAGGTTGGGAGTTTTTTTGGGGGGTTGGACAATTTTTTTGGTATGATATGGGGGTGTCTGCATGTAGTCAAGGGTAAAAGGTAGTAATTGATGGTTTGGTTTTTTTTTTCCCCTTATTTTTTCCATAAAACATTAGGGTAGGGTAGGGGCTGTCAGAATAGGGTAGCTAGGGAAACCGAAAGCAGAACTAATTTTTTTTGGCCCTATCAGGCTTGCAACTGGGAACTAGTTTAGAAAAAACGAGAAGTTCCAAACCACACAAGGCTTTGTACAGTGTTTTTTAAACTTGTAATGGCATTCATGAGAAGTAAAAAACAATGAAATCAGTGGATCCGAGAAAAAGTTGCATGCCTGCTTTACAGTTTTAAAAAATGATATTAAATGGTGCGCTCCAGTTCAGAAGTTGCGCACACTATTCAGAACGAAGTGGGAGCATCCCGCTTGTTACTAAAAAGTCAAACTTAATAAATTTATTACTTGTCGTGGGACGGTTTTTATTTTGTGTAATGCTGGGAATGATCAATTCAGTTTGAAAATCTGTTTTCCGAGGTGCCGCACCCAAAAAGCATGTACATGTATACACCAACTTTAACAATCCCTTGCCATTTCAATTCAACCCCCCCCCCCCCTTGCCATATCAAAAAGTGAAGAAAAGAAATGCTTGATAAACTTCTAGAGATTTCAGAAGGTTACAAAAAAGAATTTAGGTTAGCTTTTATCCAAAAAATGAGGCTAAACCCTTTAGATGTGGAATCATTGAGAACAATTGTGTCAAATTTGAGTAAACCCTTACCAAATTGAATTCAATTGAACAATTTAATTAATATTGCCAAAAATTTAATAAAAACTGAAGTTTTATCTTTGGAATTTTTCCAGAATTTTAACCAAACAAGGTTAG